GCATAATTTAATATACAATAGGGCTTTTCTCAGAGCCAGTGAGTCTAGTTTAATCATTTTGTGCTGCCAAATACAGATCATAGACTGTAGAACATAGTTTAGGTTCTTATAACTAAGGTTTTCCAACAAGGCACACAGATCATTCTTAATGAAAGATTGTGTGGCCTCAGATATTCATTTACTCAACAAATATTCATTGAGCAATGGCTATGTCAGGCAATATACAGTATTAATTTTCTTCATTTTTAACGTGGAAGACAGCTCTAACCTAATTTTTTTTTAATGTCAAGAACACTGTTACTTATCCAAGTGTAAATTGTACAGAGAAGTAAAGATGATGAGTTCACATTCAACAGACCTAATCAGTCTTTTCTTAAGTAAGCACTCTTTTCCTGATATGCGCCTGTTTGACAAATACAGCACATATGCTCATTTACTGTAGCTACCTGACAAACCAAGAAAACTGGTTTGATCAATTTTTTAAATATTCCACTCGTTCTTTGTGAATTGCTTTGCTAAAGGAAAATAAGAGCTGTTGGCCCTTGGAGAAAGAAAACAAAGATACCGGAGGGGACCCTGAGCAGGTGTCTGCTTTCTTTCTCTAAGGCAGCGGTTCTCAACCTGTGGGTCGCGACCCCTTTGGGGGTCGAATGACCCTGTCACAGGGGTCGCCTAAGACCATCGGAAAACACATATGTAATTACATATTGTTTACAGTAGCAAAATCACAGTTATGAAGTAGCAACGAAAATAATTTTATGATTGGGGGTCACCACAACATGAGGAACTGTATTAAAGGGTCGCGGCATTAGTAAGGTTGAGAACCACTGCTCTAAGGGCACTTCTTCTGCCTCCTTAACTTCTTTCCTGAGTCCATGCAGCCCAGCTGGCTCACTTCTTTTGCCTCTGTGACTTTCTAAAGGGCCAAGGCAGCCGCGGCTAGGTTCACTCCTGTTGCTATGACCTTACCTCTTCTATCTTAAGCCCGCCCTTTTGCTTCACTGTCCCCAGCTTTTAACAAACGTACTCTACAAATCACCTGGACTCCTATTGTGAAATCTTCCCTGCACAGAAGTCAAGAATTGGGCCATCAACATGACTATTTTACTAAAGCAACACCAAGGTGATATATTAACATGTTTAAGCAAATTAAAATGTCCTATCCTTGACTCAGCTGTTTAAGTACTCATAGTTGGTGGTAAAAGAGAGGGCATTATCAACCAACTTCAAGATGTGCCAATTATCTTTAGAGAAATCAGGAGTTCTTTGTAAAGAACCACATAAAAACTAAACGTGGTAAATTAGTGCAGCCTTTCTGAAGGGCATTATGGCGCTACATATTAAAGAACTTAAAACGGCATACATTCTTTGATTAATAATTCTGCTTCTAGGGCTTTATCCTGAGGAAGTAATAATGGGTGCACAAGATTATTCTACTAGAATTTTCATAGAAGTGAAAAATTTGAAACAACCTACATATCCAACAATTTGAGATTGGTTAATAAGTAAAAAGTCCATCTATCTGAGTGAATGTCATGCCATTAAAATGAGATGGAAAGGAAGTATATCTAATTTTTCTGCATCTGTGATATTCACATGTGCTATATATCCTTATCAGTATCCCTTAATGGGGCAAAAGAGAGGAGATATAAGGATGTGTTTATGTCCTTTGGAGAATGAAAAGGCTGTACAGCCATCACATAGCAAAGAAGACAGTCCACGAACCAGGTGGTAAGGAAGAGTCAAGAAGAGGGAGGGTTGAGTGAGTCAGCATTAAGATCGGTTTCCTGGAGTTCTAGCGAAGTGGTATCATTGGTGACGATGTCATTGGCTACACAGTATGGAGGCCAGGTGGGAATTAACCTATTTTTGGTCTGGCAGTTAGGTGTGGAGTCTGAGGACACGTGGAAGTTTGGAACAGCTCCCTGGTGGAGGAAAAGAGGCTAGGGAGGAGATGACAGCATCATGGTGGGTTGGTGATGGAATCCGTGGATTTCTCATAAGGCAGTTCACATTGTTATGTGAGGGGTTTTTTTATGAACACTTAATTGTTAACATACCCATTAAGCCACTGAAGAAGCCACTCTGGCTGATTTGTCTAATCTTCTAACTAGAAGGACACTTGTCTGCCAGAGTGAACGTCCTTGGGTCTGCACTTCACACCCTAATTGAAATTATTCCTGACTGATCTCGAGGATACAGAGGACAGTCATGGATCCTGTGCATGACCTGCTAGTGAGGCAGAGTGGGTGTCCCCTTGCACAGGCTCAGGGTGAGTCATCTCAGAAGGAGAGGAAGTCAGAGTGTCTTGTCTGCTCAGAACACCTGCCACCTTCACTGGACAGATTTGGGTTTGAGGCTGACAAGTGTTGTGCAGTCCGTGGCTTCTCTGTCAGGATTCTCACTGGCAGTGACAGAAATGAGCTCAAATTTAAGCAGGCAGGGAGTTTATCAGTGCATGTTAGAGAGCTCACGGGCTCTGAAGGGTGGGGCAGACAAGCCTGGAGACTGGGCAGCCAGAAACAGTGCCCCAAATCCCACTGCAGAGCCAGGATGGGAGAGAGAGCGTGGCCAAGGCCAGAGTGATGGCTGGCACCACTGCCGTCTCTAGAACTGGCATCTGATCTCCCGACCTACCGCCCCACAGTGGTTTCTGCTTGGCCTGACTTCTTTGCATTGCTAGCTTCTGAGGTGGTCTGATCAGCAAGGCCTCGCTCGTGTGTCAGTAACTGAGCTTCTTGGTAGACAAGGACCGGAGTGTCTGGGTTTTCATCCGCTGTCGTGGATGTGGGCTCCGGCAGGAGCTGAAATGTCAGGTGGCCATAGAGAATGACAGCTGTCCGTTGCAGTGGCATGAAACGCATGCATAAATGTTTTAGTCCCTCTGCATTGGGAGACTGGCCACTGGACAGTTTCTCTGTAGTTCCTCTATGGCAGACTACTTTAAATTCTTTGACTCTCTTAGGATGCTCTCAGAAAATGCTTGTAGAATGAATCAATAAGTGTCGTTGAGTATGTTCTTTCAACAAATACGTTTTGGGCATATACTCTGTGCCAACTATGCCGAACATTCTCCGTGGGATCAAAGAATGCGTTTACGCAATAGCAAAGACAGAAACAGGAGCGGGGAGTGGCTCCCATGCAAGAATCAAACTAAGAGAATTAGGATCCAGAGTGAAGAGATACTGCCTCAGCACGAAGCAGGACGAGTCTGAATCCGCTTCTTGAGTTGAGGTTGGGGATATGGCAAATCTGGGGTAGAGGGGGCTGAAAAACTTGGCAGGGAGAATTGCAGAGATGGCGGGGTGGCAGGGAGGCAGAGGGGACAGTCGCTTGCTGGAAAAGCTGCACTCCAAGCTCTCATTCATCTGACAGGGCATTTCTGGGCAAGTTGTTTATTTATGTTTAAGGGAGCTGCAGTACTGACTGGTTTTTCTCTGAGTGACTATTGTATGTTCAAATTGTAACAGGCAATTAAATCTGTTACATTTGCAAAGCTCTGGTACAGTGTCTGGCATGGTGTAGGTATTATATAGCCATTTATTAAATACATAAAAGTAAGGCAATGTTCTGTTTCTGATAATTGCATAAAATGTTAGGGGTTCCCCCTTGGACTCACATTTAGCCAAATGCCAGGTGTGTCCTTTTCACCTTTGACCGTCAGTCTTTTTCCTACAGCATCTGCATTGCATTCATTCAGTGCTGCACATTCGAGGCACTGTCCGGGTGTGCGTGCACACAGCAGCTCCGCCCGTTCACAGCGGCAAACCATGAATGTGCTCCCTGGGCACAGCGGCCTGACTGCCAGCCCCTCGGGGTTACCTCAGCCTGGCTCAGCGATTCTTCTCTATCTTAGCAGCTAAAGTTTTTTGTGTGTTTTCTTTAATTTAATGTAGATATTTCAGTTTCCTCCCGTGGGAGACTTGGTCCAGTTTACCTCCTGTGATTACTAGAGATGGAAATTCTGGTTTAGGTGGTTTAAATCATAGGATCCTCACAAGAACCTCAGAAGGAACTGGTAAGGTGTTCTCCATTCTACAGATGAGAACAATGAGGCAAAGGGAGTTTGTTTCCTGCTGAGAGTCAGAGAGCTGAATTGGAACATTCAAAACAGTCTGTTTTCAGAGCTTGTGTGCTTCACCCCTGTGTCCACTCATTTTTCTCCTTTTCATAACGCAGTATAATGCCTCCTCATCAAAAGTGTTCTCCTGAAAGGTCTCTACCTTCACACACTTCCCTTACAGCTCAGGACACAGTTTGGTAAAACCCTAGCCAGATACGGAATTCAGTGTCAGTAAACACAGTGCTATATTCTGTGTCTTTTCCAATGGCCACATTATATTAACGAATATTACCAATTAATTAGTTCCCTATTTTTGTAGACTTCGATATTTTTATAGCTTCAAAAACATTTCGGTCTTGCAGAAAGAAAAATACCTTTGTTTTGCCAAAGTTTTCTGTGTTTTATTGAATTTGGTCAAGGCATGCAGAGATGAAATACATATGTCTAAAATGGAGCCATTTGAATGTTCGGTATGGAAATAAATTTTAAAAATATTAGAATATCATATCTGGGCTATAACTGGTAAATGACATCAGCGAATAGTACTAAAAAAGAAAAAACAAACTTTATTTTTGTGCAAAACCTCTGATAAGCCAAAAAAAAGTCCTTGGAATTGTGCCCAACTTAGAGATTTTTATGTATATTTAATGGCTGAAAATCCCTGGGGACAGCCAAGGGCTTTCCAGAATGCTGAGAGAATAACCCAAGTGCACTCCACGGCAGACTATCTGGGGAACCCAACCCCCACAGGTCACCACAGCTGGAGCAGCTCCTTTGCTTCTGTGCCATTTTAAGCAAATGTCTCTGCATCAGGTTCAAACTGGTTTGTTGTTCATATTTTCTTTAAATAAAAAACAAACAAAAAAAACCCCAGCACCTTTCTTTCTGGCCTTGGTAAAACTAAAGGCCTAACATATTTTCTGATTTCTTTTGACAGAGAAAAAGACGAGCATATGAATCTAACCTCATTCATGATGGCCTGCAGCTAGAAGCAACCAGATCGGTAAGTGGCAGCCCCTTTCCAACCCGTGGCTGACCCTGGCTCTTGGGAACCTGCATGTCACTTGGAATGCTGGAATGGTGTTTGAAAAAACCCCAGCCACGCCTTACTTGTAGGCTGGGAGGGAAGTCAGTCATAATCTGCAGTATAAAATGTATGGTTCTGATGGAAGCCAGCAATATATGAGTGGAACAATGAATACAGGTATAAGTGATTGTTTTCTTGTTTTAAGAATCGTTTTAAAGATTTTTTTTATTATACAAGTAATAGTATTTTTTTTTAAAAAAAAAAGTATAGGAATAGTGAAAAAAATCATTTGTATCGTAATTATTCATAAATAACCTTGTAGTTCTTCTAAACTTTTTGCTCAAATATATACATTTTTCTCTTCCAAAAAGAAAAATTATATCACAGGGATTTAATTCACTTTTTTTCCCTTTAATATATAGTAAATGCATTTCTATATCAATAAACATCCTTTATAATGACCACATAACATGATATTGAACAGATATATAATAAATTAAGCAGTCCTAGGTTTAAGAAATTTAAAAATTGTTCTTACAATAACATTGCAATGAATATTCTGGTGTTTTTATTTTTATTCACTAACTTGGATGGAGTGATGGGCAAATTAACAAGTTAATTTTTCTTCATTTAAAATATTAGGAATTTTATGAAAGAACTATGATAAGAATTTTAATTACTTTCTCAGTAATTCGAACCAAGAAATTACCTTTAAGGCAAAAAGTTTACAGTGGTTTGCAAATCCACTTTGTAGTGTATCTTCACTTACACTAATGTCTGTGTGTGTATGTTCATGTACACATGTTTTCTATCTATCAGCAACATAAGAAAAATCTATGTGTTTGGTTTTCTAGATTGTGTTTTATTCTTCCAATATAGGTTTTGGACGACAAGCTGGTATTTGTAAAGATCCATGCCCCGTGGGAGGTGTTATGTACATATGCGGAGCTAATGCACATCAAATTGCCTCTGAAGCCCAACGATCTGAAAACCCGCTCTTCAGCCTTCGACAATTTCAATTGGCTTGGCAAAGTCCTCCAAGTGGATGAAAGTATCATCAAGCCAGAGCAAGAATTTTTCACTGCCCCCTTTGAGAGGAGCCGGATGAATGATTTTTATATTCGTGACAAAGATACCTTCTTTAACCCAGCCACCAGAAGCCGCATTGTACGTCTAAGCCAGATTTACTTGCTGTCTTGGGGTGATTTGCATCCTGCTGTTGAATAATTAGTGGTTTGGTTGGTTGGCTTAGTTTTGTGTTTAGAAACTGCTACACACTAAAGAGAAGAGAACTCTGCCTACAGATTCCCATTATGACAGTAAACAATGATTGGTTAGTTACACTATATAAACCACACACTTTGCTTTGAATCTTTTTAGGTTTACTTCATCCTCTCTCGAATCAAGTATCAAGTAAGCGACAACGTTAAAAAGTTTGGAATTAACAAACTTGTGAGCTCTGGGATCTACAAGGCAGCTTTCCCTCTCCATGATGTAAGTCAAATAGCAAAAATGAAATAAAATACCTAATGCATACTTCAGTGTTAGTAGGGAAGGGCTAATCTTCTTGACCTTACTTAAGTTTCTTTCTCAGTAAAATGAAGATAATATATAGAAAGATTACAAGCATATCCAGGGCAGGAACCGGGTTGCATTGTTCACTGCTTAGTCCTAGGTATAGAGAGGGCCCTCAGGTCAAATGAGTGAGCGGATGATGAGTGAAGGAAGGAAGGCATGAACGAACAAGCAAGCAGTAGCTCTCCCATAGTTAATGTGATAAGCATTGTAGGTTAGTAGTTAAGAGCATGGGCTCTGGGGCCAAAATGCCTGCTCCACCATTTTCTAGCTGGATCACCTTGTGCAAGTCATTTAGTCTCTCCTTTCCTCAATTTCTTCATCAATAAAATGGGAATAATAATAGTATCTACCCCAGAGTTGTTTGTGAGGATTAGTCCATGTCAAATGTTAGAACAGTTCCTGGCATGTAATAAGTACTATATGTGTATTAGCTATTTTCATAATAACTGACAGATGTTATCAACCAGAAAAGTATTAGTTCTTTGTAAGCAAAAACACATGTTAGAACTTTTCATTTATCATTTTCTGTAACATGGGTTTTTTTCTCCTCTGACATACCATTCCACGCTGTGCCCTGGAATACCACAGGCTTTTAGAAAGGCCTCTGTCAGGGTTCTTGTCATAATGGCATATGGCAAAGTGTTGACATTTTTTAAGGACTACGTTCTGAGATGATAGCAGCTCCTCAAATCCAATAGCACTTCTCTAGCTGATAGCATCTCACACGAAATGAAATTTTTAAAATGTGACTGCTCAGACGCTTAGCGATTTCATAAATGCAAGGATATTATATCTAAGCTCCTCAAATAACTTATGCTACTGAAATAAATGAAATACTATATTATATGGTACCATTACTTTGTTGCATTCACCATCAAGTTATCTGAATCTCTATGACCAAAGAAAGCAAACACTGAGATTGATCATTGCTGCTGTGCAGTACATGTATTTGTGGATGAGGACAGCATTGAAATGCACCTTATAAGGTAATGAGACTAGGACCCATGCATACATGGAGAACAGAGAGGAGGGCAGAGAAGCAGATGCTGAGCTTCCTGGCTAAGGGACCCAACACAGCAGTCCAAACATGCGTTTTATATTTGTGCCCCAGCAAGATTAGCAATTATAGCTTCGGGGACACTTGCAGAGAGCTCTCATGAATATAACCTGAGATGCCAACGGTCTCTAGTATTCATTTAGCAACTGGCCATGCCCAGGTTTTTTTCCTTTGAAGCTTCTTGACATTGCAAAGGGGCCTTATCCAGGCTCAGGAATGATCTCAGATGGTATTTGGAAGGGAGGAGGGTGGAGGTCAGGGTGATAATTTAGTTACAGGAGGAAGGAAAGCCAGTCAGGTGGAAAGAAGAGTGACTGAATTTGAGCAGAGGCAGAAGTTCTGTTTCTTGAATAAGCTAAGTGTATATAACATGATATCAAGCTTCTTTGTTATTTGCATTCTACATGTCACTGAATAACTGTTGAATTGGGAAAAAAGAAGTCTGGGTTTTAGTAAAGATCCTGCCACTAACCACCCAAGGGCCTGGGTGTCTGAGGAGTGGTCTGGGCTCTCAGGTATCCCCCCAGTGTGGCAGCTTTGGCACTTGAGTGCCCCAGTGACGGGGTCCAACCCCAGCAGGTCCAGGGGTCCCCAAAGGTGTGGACGGAGTCGGTGAAGAAGGAAGGACACGGAGACAGCGTTCAGTTGATCAGCAGCCTAGCCAGGATCTCCAGCCAGGATCTCCAGCCAAGTTCTGGTCTGGATCTCCAGCGAAGTTCTGGTTCGGATCTCCAGCCAGGTTCTGTGTCCATGTTGTCTTGCTAGGTTCTCCAGCCAGGTTCTGTAGCCATGTTCCCTCGCTAGGTTCTCCAGCCAGGTTCTATCCAGGTTCTCCAGCCAGGTTCAGATACCAGGTTCTAGTCAGGTTCTCTTGCCAATTTCTGTAGTCAGGTTCAGTCCAGGATCTTTTGCCATGTTCTCTCCAGCGAAGTTCTTCTGTCTCTAGGTTCTGTGTAGGTTCTGTCTTCTAAGTTCTGTCTTCTAAGTTCTGTGTTCTAAGTTCTGTGTTCTAAGTTCTGTGTCTTGCTGTCTTATTACATCTGTATTTATACCAGTTGATTCAATCCTATCAATCTCTATTACAAAGGTTAGGGCGTTTCTTATCTCCATTCCAGGGAGTAAAGATTATGTAGCTTAAGCATGATTGTTCATAGTTAAAGTGATTAATTACCCGCCTGGCACTTAGTTGAGGGGTTTTATTCCCTCCCTAACTTCAGGGGAAAATCCCTACCTGGGGAAACAACCTTTCTCAGAGACCTTGGTTAAAACACATAGTGCCAAGAAGGTGAGCAAACATATTAAGAACAGTATGCCATATATGCCAGGTCCTTTGAAACAGCAAGGATGGACCGGCTCCCGGCACCCCAGTTTTCAGTTGTTTATGACTCACCCACTTGTAGGACTTTAACATCCCCGAAGTTCCCACCAAGTGCCTGATGTGTCCCCCAGGATGGTAATAACCAAGCATTTCTTGCCACCCACATTGGCAAATGGCCCTCAGGGGGTTAGTAATACCCATGGTTGAGAATCACTCAAAATTACATGGTATTTTCATCCACTTCAGCAAATAAGGGCCCCTTATTCACAAATGACAGGAGTATTGGCACCACATTTAATAAACACATCTGTGAACACATGGTGATTGCGATGCTCACTTACTTGGTTTTGTTTCCCAGTGCAACTTCAGCTATCCGTCCGAGGACTTCACCTGCCCCAATGAACGATACCTTCTGTACAGGGAATGGGCTCATCCTCGAAGCATATACAAAAAACAGCCCTTGGATCTCATCAGGTAAGGCAGTGATTTTCAACCAGTGTGCCGTAACACTTTTTAACATGCATTGCCTGACTGTTTAGCGGGCGGCACTGACCTCTTTTACATTAGATTGTCAAATTAAAAAATAATAATAGCCAACAGAACAATAGCCATCCATTGTGAATGCCCTGTCTTGAACTATAAATATATAGGTCATATAATAGATTTGCTTCTTATTGGTCACATTGCATAATAAGGTTGTGTCTGGTTAGCTAATTCTTGGAACCAGAAATCCTTCTATACAAGTACAGCCTCTGATATTTTTACAAGGTAGATAATCACTATTATCGGAGAAATGTGTGAATTCTCTCTCTGTTGCTAGTGGGAGTGGTGTTCTTGGGGTACCACTGGAATAAGCATTTCTGGAGCCCCCACGGGAGGGTGAGATGTGGTATTACATCCTTGGGTTTTAAAGTCCCATTTCCCTTAATCACGTCCTGAAAAATGTGCAGCTGGGGATTCAGTAGAGCTAAAAGCAAAGCCAGTGTCCAGAGTTGCCATTCCAGCAACAAGCTGGGTCTGGTTTAGCATCAGGCTAGTTGCAGTCCATTAGTCCATTGTGTGTGGGGTCTACATGGCCCATGGCAAATGCAGGGGCTTTCTCTCCCAGGCCCTGTCCTGAGCCTGCTGTTTGCCTGCCATGCCTGTGTGTGTGCCAGACAGCAAAGTCCCACAAGCTAGGAGTTAAGAGCGCAAGAGAGCAAACTTCTTTGTTTAGAGTCTTTTCTCCGCCAAAGGCCATTTGGATATTTATAACTTCATTCTTGGGCCATACAGAATTATCAGCTTAAAAATTAGCCTGCTATATTTGGTCAGACATTTAATTAACTCACCCTTAATGCCTTGGCAGGGCCAGCCCAAATGATTTTGAGGGCCCTGTTTGGACGGCAGGTCAGACGTTCCCCACCCTGGTTACGGAGATTAACTGTCTTAAATCTTCACAGGCTTGCAGTGGCCAAGCCTACTCTGGCCAATGACCTGTTCCCAGGTGTAACTGACAGATACGTACCTTCCCTATGTCACCCAGACTTTACATGCATCTACACTGCAGCTTCCTGCCAAAGCTGCACACCTGGCACGCCTTTGCTCCTTTCCTGTTATTCATAGCCAGATTAAATTACAATGGTATCAGTTACTATTATTATTTTCTTTTTGATCACTGAGCTAACATGCTGTGGACTCAGGGTTGCCCTTATGGCATCAAAGTGTGACAATACTCAGAGCACCACCACTCAGGCAAGTTCACCTGGAACGCTGAGCTTTGTTGCGCAGAGCCTATATTAAGGCTTCATTACAAAGGCATGCTTGGTTGAGTCATCACCACATGACTCAAGCTCCAGCCCCTTTCTCTCCCCAGAGGTTGGACCAATCACGCGGCTCAAAGCCCCAACCCTCTAATCGCAGAGTTGGTGTTTCTGGGATGGCCCGCCCTCTTCCTGAGTCAGATCATTAGCACACACTCTTTAGGGGTTCACCATGAATAGTAAAGACACTCCTTTTTCCAGAAGCTTATGTCGCTTGGAAAGCCTGCTGGAAAGAGATAGATAAAACCAAACAAATAAAAATAAGCAAACAAAAAATAAACAAAATGTGTGGTTGAAATGAAGAAAACAATGATGAGATAGGGAGTGGGGTAGGGAGAAGTGGGCAAGAAAGTTATCTCTAAGTAAGTGGCATGTGAGCTGATACCAGATGGTAAAAAGGAGCCAGGACTTGAAGAATTAGAAGTCTTTCCGGGAATAGGGGCAACTTGTACGGTGGCCCTGAGGCACAAACACATTTGTCCAGTTTGAGGACATATCAAAGACCAGTGTTAATGAGACAGAGAATGATCAGACACCAGTTCAGCAGGGCAGCAGGGGCACGGAAAGGAGTTTAGACCAAGTGCTGTTGTGATATTTTAAGCATTCAAGTCATTTTATCTTGTTCACATTTTGCAAAAAGAGTGAGGGGACTACAAGAGGCACAGGAAGCAGGGAGACCAGAGAGCAGGCTGATGGAGTGGACCAGGTGAGAGATCGTGGGAACAAATTTGGAACGTATTTTAGGAGCAGAGTTAACAGGGCTTGGTTATAGTTGGATATTGAGGGTGAGGAGTCACGATGTCCCCAAGGTGGCCTGGAGCCAACTACCTGTTCTTTCAACACTATATCAAAGCTCCATGCACTTGCCCACCTATTGGGGGGAAAACTCTTAGCCTTACATGTAAGAGTTTTAAATCGGGCATTTTCTAGGATGGATGGTTGATAGGAATATATTATAGAAAACCCAACAGTCAAGAGCCCAAAACATCTCAAAGCCATCCCCAGGCTTTCTCTCCCAGGTGCTGTCCTGAGCCTGCTGTTTGCCTGCCACGTGTGTGTGTGTGCCAGACAGCAAAGCCCCAGTCACTTGAAAATGGATAATCTGTTCTCCTGATTGCACATTGGTCTCACCCTTTCCTTTTCCCCATGGGTGTGACCTACACCTGCCCTATAACTAGCCAGCTGCTCTCACTGTTGCCCTGTGAGCCCCGGTCCAACCCATGGAGGTTCCTGTCTGAAATCTCCCAGATATCCAGGTTCTCAGAGCTAAGTCCCCACTAGGTAAACTCAGGGAGCTCGTGCCAGCTCCATGCTGAGCCAGAAATATCCTAGAGGCCTCAGAGTTAAGTAAATCTTCAGCTTCTACCCACCAATACTGAGACAAGTGAATCAGTCTAGAGAAGTACCAGCAGCAGCAACCATCACCTACATAGTCATTTCGCTATTTTCTCCTTATCCCTAAGCCTTTCTTTCCTGCCTGATTGTATTTGTCTCCCTTTCAGGAACAATCTCCCATTGCCCAGCCTCTCTTCCCATCTTGCCTACCTGGCCTCTTCCATTTTACCCCAGATCACACCACTGATCAGTTTTAAAATCTTAGAAAAAAACTGAAGTGCTAAGTGGAAGAAATACAGGGTGGTGGCTTCCTCAGTCGTATCCATCCTGTCCTCTCCCACTCTCACAATGTGCAATGTGTTTTATAAATGTTTTGATCAGAGGCACATTCCACTACTAACTATTTATAGTATATACAATACATAAATGTAATGTATTAATTGTGGTTTATATTACATTTGCTCCAAGGAAGTTCCCTGGGTAAGTGAAAGCAGGTAACTGTGAGTGGGTTGTTCATGTTCATTTGTTTCATGCAGATTAAGAATCATCTTTCGGAGAATGTGTCAAATGTGCTGCTCTTTACAGAGAATGATGGTGCTATCTCTCCCTGCTCCATACTCAGCGTTTTTCCTTCCTTTGCTCTGTTCTAATTTACTTTGCTTTCACAGGTTAGCCAGGGATCTAGTACTTCCATGAAATGTAAAGTTCTTTTGGGTTTACGGTGGAATTTGGGGTCTGCTATGAGCCTGAGTATGTTTTAAGTGTGAATTGAGTCTGATGTTTAAGCTCAAAGGCTTCTCTTTTTAAAATCGGAAATTAATATTCGGGTAAAGCTGCAGAGTGATTATTTGTATCTTCTAAAAATATTTTCTGTCTTTGTTCAGGAAATATTATGGAGAGAAGATCGGAATCTATTTTGCTTGGCTGGGCTATTACACGCAGATGCTCCTCCTGGCAGCAGTAGTGGGTGTGGCTTGCTTTCTCTACGGATATCTGAATCGAAATAACTGCACTTGGAGGTAACCCTATTTATTCTTTGTTAGCGCGCTGAAGGTTGATGAGACATAAAATTATTTTCAGGGTCTTAGACATTTTTCATAAAAGAGGACTCATCGCAAAAACAGTTACTGCTTTGGATGATACATCTTTTTTTGTTCGAGTCTAATAAGTGGAGTGGAAAATTTTTTCTTAGATCATGCAGCCCAGTCTCTGGCAGGAATATTATCCTCAGGAAACACTTCAATATTTTCAGACAATGCTTTGTTTGCAAAGGAAAAGAGGGATGTAGGGAGGCTCATCCTTGAACTTCTGGCCTCCAGAGGAATGCTTTGCTTAGCCCTCCCTACAGATGTGGCCAAGAGCAGCTCTGATCTCTTTAAAGTCTCAGTGGCGAAACTGGAAAAATTGGTGTTTTTATGCTTTTTAGAAATGATTTCTTATACATAAAAACATAAGTAAACAATACTTTTTTTTTTAACTTTTTAAAAACTAGCCCTTACAAAAGTAGGGGAAAGAATAAGAGATAAAGAATGAGTTTGTGCTGGATGTTGGAATGCAGGTACCAGCTGCACTGTCTGAAAAGAAATAGGCGAGAGCCTGAACACTGCATTGTGCCATCGCTATTCTGAATTGTGTTGTTATGCCTCTGCTTTTGGTGGTCTCAACCTTCAGCAGACATGCAACACTAAACCAAGTATTTTCCTTTGACCTCTGGCCTCTATCCAGATGTGACAGCCAGATCGAAATATCTGAACACCAGCTATGAGCAGACCAAATTTTTCTCGCTTGGGGCATACCAGGCTGGCTCCCCAGGCAGACAGCTTACAGGGCAGCCCTGACGTGTAGGCATCATGATCCGTCCTGTTTAACAGGGTTCTGAGCGTTCTGTACCCATGGGGCTTCTTAGCCAGAAAGCTGCAGGTGGTCTTTGAAGTCCTCACTTCTCATCACTGAAAAAGTTTAGGGCCAAGGGCTGAATGTTGGTTCTTTTTACCTACATTTGTCTTTAGCCTCTCCATTGTTTTGTATATATTTCCAGCCAAGAAAAAAAAAAAAGGCATCTCAAAAATTATACTTTCAAAGTGATGTTACATTTTTATAAAGTTCTTGAATGGTGGTTGTAGACTGTATTCTTACAGAGATTTAGCTGTTTTTCCTTAAATAAACACCCACTAGGTTACTGTAAGTTTTTGTTTAATTTCCAGAGCTCTGCAGAGGTTAATTTTGACTAATTTTCCATTGTTCTCTTACTTACATAGAAAAATAGATTTTCCAAGATTTATTTTATTTTATTTTATTATTTTATTTTTTTATAATCCTCACCCGAGGATATTTTTCCATTGATTTTTAGGGAGAGTGGAAGAGAGAGGGAAAGACAGAGAAACATGAATGTGAGAGAAACAAATCGATTGGTTGCCTCCTACATGAGCCCTGGCCAGGGCCCAAACCAGGGAGGAGCCTGCAACCAAGGTACCTGTCCTTGATCAGAATTGAACCCAGGACCCTTTGGTCCACAAGCCGGTGCTCTATCTACTGTGCCAAACTGGCTAGGGCAACTTTCCAAGATTTTTACTCAGATACTCTATATGATTCTCATATCCATTTGTTTGTAACTGACTTATGTGTAAGACCAACAAGCTACCCAACTCCAGTCCTATTCACATAAAAGTCCCTCTGAATGGTTTCTAGAGGGAGCAGTCTGCATGCTGTTGTTACTTTGTTGTGTTTTTCTAATTAATTTATAGTAGTTCTTTACATACTCTGGTGAATCATCCTTTGCCATTTTTTAAAAAATATTTTTTTATTGATTTCAGGGAGGAAGGGAGAGAGAGAGAATCAATGATGAGAGATAGAATCATTGATTGTCTGCCTCCTGCATGCCCCACTCTGGGGATGGAGACCACAGAGTATGTGCCCTGACTGGGAATCCAACAGTGACCTCTAGTTCACAGGTTGACACTCACCCACTGAGCCACACCAGCCAGGCAATCCTTTGTCATTTTTATGTGTTACAAAACTTCTACCAGTTTGTAGCTAATTCTTTTTTTCTCTCTCTTCCCTTTATTTTGGTGAAGTTCTTGCCTTTGAAAGATTTTGAATTTATCAATATTTTTCTTTCTGATGTATGCCTTTTGGTTTCTTATTTATGGAATCTGTCCTTACCCCCTAGGTCAGTGATGGCGAACCTTTTGAGCTCGGCGTGTCAGCATTTTGAAAAACCCTAGCTTAACTCTGGTGCCGTGTCACATATAGAAATTTTTTGATATTTGCAACCATAGTAAAACAAAGACTTATATTTTTGATATTTACTTTATATATTTAAATGCCATTTAACAAAGAAAAATCAACCAAAAAAATGAGTTTGCGTGTCACCTCTGACACACGCGTGTCATAGGTTCGCCATCACTGCCCTAGGTTATCTAAATATTCTCTTCTTCCTTTTTTTATAGTAAGTTGGTGCTGTTGCATTCTCATTTTCCACCTGGAATTGATTTGTATGAGATAAGATTTGGGAGTTGAATTTCATGGTTTCCCATATGGATATTTCATTGCAGCAGCCCCATTTGTGAAATGTCAGTTCTCACCTTACTGGTTTGATGGGCTCGCCCTCTCCTAGTCAGTTTTTGTATCTGCAGATGTCTCTTGTCTCCTGAACTCTTTCTTTTGTTCTCTAGGTCAGTTTTTCTTAACCTATGCCAACGGCATCTTGTTGTTTTTTAGTGTGTCTTAAATCTTCTGAGCCCTTTGGTCTTGTAATTGAATTTATAGCTCAAATGGGGGAGAAATGACATCTGTAAATATTGATTCTTCCAAATTATGAACATCATCATGTATCCACTTATATATAGGATTCACTGTATGTATTTCACTCTTTCAGGACAGTTTTATAATTTTCTCCATGTAAATCTTATACATCTTGAGTTAGACTTATCCTTTGGTTCTTCATATTTTTTAAGCTATTGAAAGATGCTATTTTAAAAACTAATTTCTAATTGTTACAGGTCTGTGGGGACACAGTTCTTTTTGCGACCCTGGGTATATTTTGTGTATTAATATTGTGTCCCACAAATTTATTAAACGCACTTATTCTCATAATTTGTCTGGGGTTCTGTTAAGTTATTTATATTGACAATCATGTAATCTATTAGCAATAGCAGTTTTTTTTTTCCCTTCCTTACCAATTCTACTATTATTCTTTTTTTACTTACCATGCTGTCATGACCTCCACTGGGAAGAAGTGGTGATGGAAGGACCCATCGCCTTGTTTCAGATCTAAAGAAAATACTTTAAGCATTTTATCATTAAACATAATGTTTGTATAGGCTTTAGGTAGCAAGCCTTTATCAATTAGGTTAATGAAGTTCATTTCCATTCCTAGTTTTATAAGAATTTAGTTTTGTCTTATTTTCTTATATGAATAGATGTTGGATTTTATCATTCTACTAGAAAGGCAGTCCTATTAATTAAATTTTTAAAATTAAATTAAAATTTTTCTCTTTTCTCTAGCAAAGAAGTTTGTGACCCTAATATTGGCGGCACCATCATAATGTGTCCTCAGTGTGATAGGCTTTGTCCATTCTGGAAGCTCAATATTACTTGCGAGTCCTCACAGGTAATTTTTGTTATTCCAAACATTTCCAAGTAATGAATGAAAGATAATTTTTGCCTCTAATAATGTTAGTAAAACATGGAAATTTTTTTATATTTTTTTATATTTTTTTCCTCGGAGGAATTCAGAAAGGTAATTTTGAACTAATTGTTCATTCTGAAAGGCAGATACAAACCATGTGTTTATTCCTCTTTTGCAAATAATAAGTTTATTCTTCTTTTACAAATAATAAGTTGAGATTAAAAGTCTTATTTAAAATCTCCTGGAGGATCAGGGAGGAACTGTGGGGTTGAAACTATTTGAGTATTTCAGATAATCAAAGCAGAAATCTCAGACTTGGCTTATTTCATGAATGCTTTCCATTACAGTTACTATTATAAGTATTTTCCTTAATTCAAGTGAGTGAAAGCTGTGTTTGGATTTTTAAAGACTTTGATGGTCATATTTCAACTATCTGAAAGTATGCATGAAAAAGGTTTTGTGTATAAATGACAACAGATACTCACTCTGTCTCAAAGCATTCCCACAAAACACATCTGGTTCCCTGGCTAACGGCAGATGATCTTGAGCTGTAAGACTCCTCAACTCCAGGAGGTTTAGGGCAACAGTGAGCGTGGAGGGAGCTTATTAAATGGCATGGCCCCCTAAGGGAGAAAGCAGGTCAGCTTGCTTTGGAGAGTTTTCCTGACAACTTGGACATATTACCACTGAAGCGATGCCACTTTATATTTTATATTTTGCAAAGTCTTGTACTTATCACTTATGGCACACCCAACAACCCTATGAGATAGGCAGGACAGGCATTATCTCCACTTTACAGAGTAAAACACAGAGGAACTGAGAGATTAGATAGATTGCTGGAGGTCACCCACCTGTGAACTGACAAAGCCGGAAACTGACAGTGAATCTGCATTTCTTGCCATCAGTGTGTTCCTCCCCAGCTGACAGTAGTACCAGGCACTTCACTCTCAAATTGAGCTCTGTGTTTGAAAAATCGTTCCACCACGTAATTAAGATGATTGCAGGGTATCGTCAACGCATGGATTTTTATGCTTAATTTATGAATTAGAATAGATTTCATTGCCCACCCTGCAAATCAACACACATTCTAGCCCACAAATATCTGCCATAGATGACACAAAGTAAGAGATTTGAAGCTGGTGAAAGTGAAGCTGCCTCCCAGTGAAGTTAACGCATAAAGGTCAGGAGTTAGTGTGTAACCCCAGGCACCGGATTTAAGACAGATGCCAACAGGAATGCCAGAGGCACATTGCAACTGCAAATTCCATTTTCTTGAAGAAATTCTCTTTCACACACTCCACCCCCATTTCTTTTCTCATTTCTTCTGACCCATTTTAAACACATGACTTTCAAATATGTCCCTGTGCACATATTTTTTTCCTTGTTTTAGAAAAAAACGAGTCATTCTACTCCAGTTTCCTGAATGGTCCCTTGAGCCTTGTCAGAGTGATTTACAAAGGGAAGGAAATATATAAAAAAATGGAATGAAAAATAAGTTTAAAAAAGAGTTTTTTTATGCTTTTCCTTTTGTTGGTTAATTCAATTATTTCTTTTTAAATAATTTTTTATTGAATTATTTTAGAGAGAGAGGAGGAGGAGGGGAGAAACAGAAACATCTCTTTGTTGCTCTACTTACTTAGGCATTCATTGGTTGCTTTTTGTATGTGTCCTGACCGGGGATTGAACCCACAACCTTGGCGTATCAGGACAATGCTCTAATCAACTGAGCTACCAAGCCAGGGCCTCTATTCAATTATTTCTTTATACATTTCTTTATATATTTATTTCTACTTTTCTTTTGGAAAGAGATGGAGTATTCACTAACTGACATGTATGCTAAAAGGGTTAACAGACTACAAATATAAATATGCATATAGAATCAGGATCAGGGAAATGAAACAGTTATAAAAATAATCAGGATTAATACTGTTTTTGTGATTGAGCATTGAGTACAGTCCTTAGCTTTTGGCTGGCAAGATAAAAGAGAGACATGGTAAATTATAATATTTCGTTCTAAGAAATACATTAAGCTATAAGATTTTGATTTTATTCTTTTGCAGGAAGAAAGCATAACAGATGGTCATTTTCCTAGATTCTGATGGGTTCCTCTCTTAAAATCGGCATGCCTGCATGCGTAGCTCTCTTCTTTCCTGCTCCATGTGACTAAAGCAGTGTGCTGACGGGGCTGCCCTTCACACAGCTGGCTTTACCCTTCTGTGCCATCCTGCCAAGCAAGCTAAGCCAGGCTTCTAACCAGTAAAGCCCCTTGCTTACCTTCTCTCCTGCTTCCTGCTCCCATGCCACTATGGGCCACCTAGAGAAGAGAGGCCAACCATCTCATTTTCTCTCTTGGGTCCTTGACTTTTACTCATGTGGTAACTTGATCCAAGCCACCTAACTACCTGGCATAGGCATGCAAGGTGCATCCCTTGTCTTGAACCAGGCAACTGGTGCGATCTTGGCATCGGCAATAAACCTGCTTTTTCTTGCTGCTCCTCTTTATTTTCTCTCGCACTGATAGATGTGCTTCCATTGGGTTTTTCAGCATAGTAGGACAAAGAGTTCACAGGATTTTCTTCTTTATAGTGTGGATGGAGCAGAGATGTCAGGGTAAGCAGGGAAGTATCAGATAGAAAGAGGCTTGCACTGATTCCTAAAAGAGAAGACTTAGCATTGGGCAGAATTGTCAATAATGGTGTGATAACTCACAGAATGGTTTTTCATGAGACTTACAATTTTCAGTAAGAGATAAGGGATAACATTCAGAGACAACTTGGAGAAGATGGTTCTGTAAGAGTCAGAGCTAAAATATTTGAAATGTGTGGTGCATGGAACCCCAGACTAGAGGAACAGGTGGAGAGCTTTGTTCCCAGGGCCTTCTCTCACGTGTTCATTGTCTCCCTTGCGTGGGAGTGTTTGAGAGGAATAAATAGATGACAGCAACTTGGGATTGTGCTTTCTGATCAGGGTCTGTATGGATGATTGAAGGGCATCTGCTCTGGGAAATGGATGTCCGAGTAGAGGGTTAGGTGGATAATCTTTTATGAAAATAACATAACTAATGTTTTAACATTGATGAAAGTTGACCTACTTTACATCAATAGAAAGGGCAACCCAACAAGTTACCTAAAGCAAAGATGAGTTTTCCTCAGAAGCAGCTTGGAATGTTCTTCAGCGTTTGAAAATCTTGCTTTTTTAATTTGTTTTGTTTTCTTTTTAACCTAGAACTTCTTTTTCTACACTGTTGTCTTTACTTTTATTTTTATCTATCCTGAAGTTGATATTATATATGTTTGCCACTATTTCCATTAACCTTACAGATATTTTTAGGAGCTGTAAAAAAAGCTCACTCGTGAAAAATGAGTAACTAACGGAACGATTTTCCAGGAATTTATAGAGGGAGATAGGCTATTTATACAGTAGCAAAAAGATGAAGCGTAGCAGAACTTGTGAATAGAGCCTTCTGTGTGCAGGTGTGTCCTTTATTCATTCATGGTCATTGTACCCTTTGTAATGTCAGCAAAAGCCCCTGCGCATCCTATTCTACTGGAAGCCTCTGTCAGTGGTGGTAGAAAGGCCGTCACTGGGTGTGAGGAAGCAGAGCTCTTCAGGGGGAGGGCCATCTCAGAATAGCCCAGCTTTGTACTTCTCTTATCAAGAAAAGCAGGAATTCAGGAACCTATCCTCTGACCAGGGTGGGATGATGATAAAATGCAAATCCTAATCTAAAAGTTGCATGGAGTTCATTGTATTCTTAGGACCATACTACTTCCTCAAATTCTTTTTATGACAGCTCATAGATGAGGCCATTATTCAGAAGTCTGAGAGGCTTTAAACAGAGTGGCGTCTTAGCAGCTATCCTATTTCTTGATCATGAGATGGAAAGATTCCATTGCAAAATACACTTGTAAACACAGCAAGGGCTGTTTGCTTCCAAAAAGAATAAGAAACCCCATCTATAAGGATTTAGTACAGATCATGATTGTTAAACAAGGTGTCAGCTTTAAAACGAAATTCAGACTGTATACACACACACAGCATTGGATATTTGATGAATTGTAATAAGTGGAGAACAGGATTAATGTATATGTCATTGTTGTATTTTCCAGAAATTGTGCATCTTTGACAGTTTTGGAACCCTAGTCTTTGCAGTATTTATGGGGGTCTGGGGTAAGTTTTCTTTTTTGTTTTTTCAGTTTACTTTGCCTCTTAAAAAAAAAAAACCAAAAAAACCTAAGATCACACAAATGCCCGACTTAATAGCATTATGCAGTTTTGTACAGGCTATCAAAGTAACCCACTTTTAGGACCTTGGATGGCCCAAGCTTCAGCTCCCCTACAGCTCCATTTAGAACTCTTTAAGGCCATTGTATCAGTTACTGCATAAGGGACTGCCTCAAAATGTAGTCGCTTAAAACACACTTTTATAATCCTCATCATCCTCTGGGTCAGCTAGGGGGTTCCTAGGCCGTGGGCTGGCTCAGCTGACCACGCTGGCAGGTCCCCTGGGCTAGTCTGGCCGTCACCAAGCCAAGTGGTTCGTGGGGCTCAGCTGGGCCAGCTCATCTGCTCCATGCTGTCCCTCATCCTCCACTGGGCGTGCCCAGGGTCTTCCCATGGTAGTTGTAGGATTCCAAAAAGAGGCAAGAGAGGACAAGCCTTAATGCATATGTATTTTAAGCTTATGGTTGCATCAAGTTTGCAAATGTCCCATCAGCCAAAACAAGTCATGGCCAAGCCAGCAACAATGTGAGGTAGTGGGAGGACTACCCAAGGGCTTGGATGGAGGGAGGCTTAGTTCACTGGGAGCCATCGTGGTCACAGTCCCACAGCTGTCCACCACCCTGACTTTCCTGGGGTTGGGGTTCTGGGGAAGTGCCAGCACAGTGGTTACAGGTAAGCTTTCTTCTTTATACACTTCTATAGAAGTAAGAATTTAATAAGTATGTGCTACTCTCATAATACTTTCACATCCCATTTAATAAATTTAACAAATATCATCCTAAACAATATAATTGTATATAGAAGCTTTAACATTATATTCATATCATTTACGTTGAATAGCATCATTGAGGCAATTATTTTCTTTAAATACAGATTTTACGTGTTTAATTGATGTAAATGTTCTCCCATAGAAGAAAAAATTTTCAAAGATAAACACATTTCCAACTTCATTGTGTAAGAGGAAAATAAAGTTCAGCTTATTAGGTAGGTGGGGGAAGAAACAGAGCTAAGTCTCTTGTTCTTTTTTTTTTTTTAATATATATTTTATTGATTTTTTACAGAGAGGAAGGGAGAGAGATAGAGAGTTAGAAACATCGATCAGCTGCCTCCTGCACATCTCCCACCGGGGATGTGCCAGCAACCCTGGTACATGCCCTTGACCGGAATCGAACCTGGGACCTTTCAGTCCGCAGGCCGACGCTCTATCCACTGAGCCAAACTGGTTTCAGCTAAGTCTGTTGTTCTTAAGACAACATATCAACACACGGGAATCACAGGCACAGTTCTCCACAGGTGTCCTCTGCAGTATTTCTCTTTTGCAATGGCTGTGCCTGTGAAGATCACCAAATGGATCTCAGAACAGGCATTGTTTGAACACTTTTTAGAGATAGTAGTTGCCACTCCTGGATTAACTAGACTGTACTAGTAAGGTGACCAAACTTACCTACAAAGTTACATTGTCATTCAGACACTTAGCATGTTTTGGCTGAAAACCAAATACTGGTTAATATATGACACATGGAAGAATAAAGATCAAATTCATGTATTAAGATCCTCTGTACTGTTCCACTGTTAAATACATTAGTATTTTCCCCCCATAAGAGCACTGGTGCCAAACACATGGGTGGTGGGCACTTTTAACTCGTGTCTATACCTTAGTCTCAACACTGATTCACAACAGATAAAATTCTGACACATCTGTTGAACTCCATATACTAATGGATACTGACAGGCCTAATTTAAAAAGACATCTTAAAAAAATATACAACAGGGTGGGGCAAAAGTAGGTTTACAGTGGTAAGTACGTGAAACATGGAGTTTATTCTTATATTATTATTTATTAACTAGAGGTCCGTTGCATGAAAATTCATGCACTGGAGGGGGAGTCCCTCAGCCCGGCCTGCCCCCTCTCACAGTCCAGGAGCCATCAGGGGCGGGAGGTGACCTGGCGATCAGGGGAAGGTGATGCCCTATCACACCTCTGCTGCTGCCACTGCTGGTAGCACAAGCCTCGACCGACTCTGGTTACCTGAGCCTCGGGCGGCTCTGGGTGGCTGGGCAGCCACCATCCGAGGGTTGTCTGTGCCTCAGGCCAGCCCTGGGCGGCTGAAGGGACTGGGGACTCCAGAGGCAGGCACGTGGCAGGGCTGAGGGGACTAGGCACTGCCATCTTGTGGCTGTGGACACTGCCATCTTTGAGGGTGTGACAGTTAATTAGCATACTCCCTCCTTATTGGCTGTGGGTGCTGCCATCTTTGAGGGTGTGACAGTCAATTAGCATACTCCCGCCTTATTGGCTGTGGGTGTTGCCATCTTTGAGGGTGGGGCAGCAATTAGCATATTCCCTCCTTATTGGCTGTGGGTGCCACCATCCTTGCAACAGTGTGAGGGTCAATTAGCATATTCCCTCTTTTTTTTTTTTAATATATATTTTATTGATTTTTTACAGAGAGGAAGGGAGAGGGATAGAGAGTTAGAAACATCAATGAGAGAGAAACATCGACCAGCTGCCTCTTGCACACCTCCTACTGGGGATGTGTCCGCAACCAAGGTACACGCCCTTGACCGGAATCAAACCTGGAACCTTTCAAGTCCACAGGCCGACACTCTATCCACTGAGCCAAACCGGTTTGGCAGCATATTCGCTCTTTATTAGCTAGGATTATTGTATTCTTTTCCATATTAAAAAATGTAAACCTACTTTTGCCCCACCCTGTATATTAATTTTTGCGCTGCAAGACAACCCTCATATTTCCTAGCTAGCCTTGGTTTCCACGATCATTAACTACACCATGTTTACCGAAAACTGACTGAAGCATAGTGAGCTACTGATTTTGTCACCGATTTTAGAATGCAGAAGACATCTCAGGCCTGCTTGCAGCACCATATGTGTGTCGTTAAGGACATGTATGATGAAGTCTTTATTTTAAGTGCCTGATATAGCTTTTCTTGTTACCACTGCCTTATGGGAACTGCTGCTGTGAGCCTCATTACAGAAAGCCTGAAATTGTAGAGCTGAAGAGGCAGGAGGATCCTGTGACGTTTTTCATATCATCGTCATCACATTCCTGCTGCATCTCTTTTGTACCCAGATATATGGGGCACTTAGTTTTGTTCTCTTCCCTAGGAGTTATACAAGTTGAAAATAAAAAACCTTTTACAAGAAATACAGTACAAATCATATACTTACTTTCACCCTTCTAGCCAGCCATTCATACTGACTCCTAGAGTCCTGCACACCAACCCATGATTGAAGTTAAGGTTCTTAGCATATCACGCCCGCCATCCCCCCTCCCTGTTCCTTGTTGCTTCTTACCTGCCTCTGTCGGATCCTCCCTGGCTCGGACTCTTAGCTGCATGACTGCAATTTTTCATTTTCACCTTTGAGTTCTAGTCTAGGCCTAGTGATTCCCAGAGAAACACTGGCCACCTGGCTTATGAGGACCCAGGGAATCGAGAAGACATTACTCTAGCTAGCGGCTTTTCAGGGGCTCAGGAAATGGGAGTTCCAGACCTGTGCTAATCCTGCTGGTCCACATCAGCAAAATAGCAGCTCGCACAACCACCTTTGCTCTGTTCAGCTCTGCTTCTGATTCAAGTGACTCACAGATGCAGGTGATGGGCATTTTAAAAGTTGAATCTGGAACTCTAACTGCAGGAGAGTCCGTGAGAAATGCAGTTTTCACTTGCACTCTTTCAGTTAGGAAGTTGGAATAAAGGCTAAGCAAGCTCTTCTACCTTATTTACCGTTGTGAGTAAAGAGATCTGAATACTTTCAAGGCCTGTCAAAATATTCCAGCCCTTCAGCAGCAAAAAATTTTTTAAACTTTTTTTAATTAAAAATTTTTTTTAATTACAGTTGATTAAATGATTAAATTATTATATTAGTTTCAGGTGTATAACATATACATTTATTTAAATTATGCAGTGATCACCCCAATAAATCTAGTGGCCATCTGATACCACACATAGTTATTACAATATTATTGACTATATTCCCTTGAGCAGCAAACTCTTATAGCAACTAGAACACACCCATCTACCAAGAGTGTGCCTCTTGTCCTTAGATATAGCTGGACACAACACCACCAGTGCCTTAGTGACCTGAACACCTATTCCCTTTAGCAGCATCTTCTTGATCTGATGTATACTTTATCTAAATGTAATAATACCATGATTAAAAAGACAAGCTGTTCTTGCCTTAGCAGGTTGGCTCAATGGAGAGAGCGTCTGCCTATGGACTGAAGGGTCCCAGGTTCGATTCTGGTCAGGGGCACATGACCTGGTTGCAGGCTCAATAGGGGGCATGCAGGAGGCAGCTGATCAGTGATTCTCTCTCATCATTGATGTTTCTCTCTCCCTCTCCCTTTTTCTCTAAAGCCAATAAAAATATGTGTTGGGTGTTTTTTTTTTTTTTAAAAAAAAAGGACAAGCTGTTCTTGATTCCCAAGGTCCAAGGCAGCCATGCCTCTTCTCTTGTTATAACTGTGTCTCTTTAATCAACCAGAGCTTCATGGTATGTGGTTTGCCAGAGAAATAAGCACAGTGCCTCCCACTGGAGTTCTGCCAGGTGTTTTATTGCAGGGAGAGAGCTAAAGATAGAGAACAGGAAACTCCTGTGTGACATCATGCAGGGTCACCCCAGGTCCTGGTGTTCTCCATCAGGGGTGTACAGCAGTGTGAGTCAGCAGGGACATGGCCCAGGAGTGCTCCAGAACGTTGGGCGGCTATACCAGGTTACCATGTCTTCCAGGAACCCTGCAAATCCTTCGCTGTGTGAAATGAAGAACTAAGAAACTCCCACCCATTCCGGCAATTCCAGGTTTTTGCCTCTAAGGTTCAGGATTTGCTAACGACTCATTATTTTTCGCCAGTCGTTTCTCGCTTGCTTGGCAGTCCTATCACTTCCTAGGCAGAACTGCTCCTCGGGTTCAGCCTTTGGTAAACAGCAGCCTTTTCACTCCTCATGTTCAAGTTCAGGGAGGACAAGGAATAGTACCCACTCTTCTTCCTTTATAGTGCTGATCAGAATTGCTGATACTGCTTTTTGTGAGAAAAATACGTCTTGCTTTCGTAAATCATCTCTTGTTGATACTGTTGCTAGATTGTGAGCAAATGGATGCCTATTATACTCCCATTTTAAAGATGAGGAAAGTGACACTGAGAAAGATTAACCAAATTACTCAGTTCCCCCGAGGCAGAAAGTGACAAGCACAGAATAAGAGCTCTGCAAATATAATTTGGCTGCCATCAGCCTTTAGATCGGAGACAAAATGCAGCGTCTAGTGATAAAGTTGTAGGAAGCTTTTAGAAAGATGCATAAATATTTACTTGATTGAAAGAATAGCACTGTTCTGTCTGGGGCTTGGAATTATAGGAATGGGTTAGAAAACCTTCGTTCCATGACTCTGGTTCCACCTCACCTGACACATAACAGGAAGAAAAAAGCCAGATTTGCAGCCTCATTCTACCAGCCTGATGAGATAAGAGCTTCATGTCATTTATGCCTGCCTCTGGGAGTCACAGTGAGCAGGGCTTTCATGTTTTCAGTCAGTTTTCTTTAAAAATAGAGATGATTAAAGATATAAATTCATGAAAGTAAGCTGCTTTTTTTATTAAAATGAAAAGTAACTTTCTTTACTTTGCAGAGAAGGAAATTGGAGATTTTTATGCATTTTTGAAAAAGGATTTCAAAAACATGTAACAGATTAAAACTGCAAAATTTAGAGGAATTACGGTAACACAAGGAAGATATCTAGCGGGGCTCCCTAGAGGGCTTTCCCCAGCAAGCTGGGTTCCTAAAGAGGCCACGATGGGGCAGACACCGTCTTCCACCCGTAGTTTCTTTCCTCAGGCTGGAGGGGCCAGAGTTTCCGCTGCTGTGATCTTGTGCTTCCAGTGAGTTGTGAGGTAGGACCAAACTCGTGACGATTCCTTCAGTCTGTCTACCCTGACATCCTCCAGGTGGTCAAGGGGCTAGAGCCACCAGGACCTCCCCAATAGACCGGCACATTCTCCATCTTAGCTTATGCAGACCTGTTGCCGAGTGTAGAGAAATTGGGGGCCCATGTGATCTGGTGCAGCAGAGAGTGATAGTGAGCGGGTGGTCATGCACAGAGGGGAGCAGTTGGAGTAGATGGTTCCATCCATCGGGGATCCCAGATGGTGGGGTTCTCCAGGCTCTGATTGGCTTCCTGCAGTTCATTCATTCAGCTGATACTCATTGAGTGCCTGCTGTGTGCTAGTGCTTCAGCGTGAACGAAACAAGATTCCTGCCCTCAAGGTGGCATTGTAGTGGGCGAGATAAACAGTAAATATGGAAGCAAATACAGGTCAGGATCGTGGTTGCTACCTGTCTTGAAAAAAGTTGAGGTCAGCATAAGAAATAAAGTGCGCCATTCTTGAGAGAATGGACACACCACTGGACGGATTTAACAGTTTAGATGGAAGACACAGTTGGAAGAACTTCGGCGGGGGGAGAGTTCATGCAATACTAGCAGAATCTAAGTAAACTAAAAATGTAAGCTCTTCTACTTGACGGGGTGCGTTGGGTGTTTATCCAGGAGATGTGAGCCCAGGGGACTTTAGTCAGTGGATACGCTGTGCTGCTTTGGGTGAAGGCCAGGAGGGTTGGTGCATGGCTGACTCGTTTGCCCACTAGGGGTCTCCTTGGGAGTATCTGCCGCATGAGGCCAGCACGGATGAGGTGGGAGGCGGGACCCGCCATGACAGCTTGATCCAGAGATACGTAGTGCCCTGAAGACTTTCATCCCACTGATGCCTCGTTTCCTCCTGGTTGGGAACAAGGACACACACGGCTGGGCAGTTTCTCGGTCAGCACAAGCTCAGGAGAGATGCCCAGGCCCACGGAGAGGACCTTCCTGAGAGCAGGAGCAGCCACATCCGTCCTGCTCTCCGGGGTCTGACAGGTGCACCAGCTCAGTTTCTCTCACAAGTTACTCCCTTACAGGATTTGGGGCATTTGAGTAACTGAGAGGGGCAGGAAATAATACCCAAGGGCTCTGTGGATTTCGTCCTCCAGTGTTAACTCATCCGCGGTAGCTGTTGTGCAAGGAGATGGAATTTGGGGACTACTGGGCCATTCCCTGTGCTCCCTGATGGGGCCAGTGGATTACAAGGTAAACTAGAACTTGGTGGCAGGGGAAGGGGAAGCATCATTCCTATTTAAAGAGGCTAGGAGGCCTTACATAACTCCTGTCTCAGGTTTCAAAGCTTTATAAGGAAAACTGGCTCCCAACCAAGTAGGAGACAAGGAGTGACCTCCCCTACTAACTGAGCTCTGTGCTTCCATTAACAATAGCACCCACTGCAGGAAGCTGGCCCTCCACCTATATTCCCTTGGAAACATGCTGGCAGCCACAGCAGGGGCCGCCGAGGGTTTATGTTGCCACAGAGGCCCTGAGTGGGAACGGGACAGTTACTAGCAGCGTGCCCGGAGGAGTGCCAGAATCAGAAACTGGAAAAGCAAGCAGCGATGACACCTAAGCAAAGAGTTGTGGTTTACCTTGTGATCCATTGGCCAAAGGAAGGGGATTGGAGAGCAGGAGAATTAGGGGCAGAGCTCGGGCTCCGGAGCCAAGAATGCCTGGGTTTGATTCCTGCCTCAATACTAACCTCAGGCAAGTAGCTGAACCTGCCTGTGCCTCCGTTTCTTGGTGTCTAAAATGGGGATCACAATAACAATGACCTCAGAGGGCTTGGAGGGCCTTGACAGATGCTGTTTCAATAAGTTGGCAATAGCCTGTGGGGTAGGTTCTGTCTCCACATTTTGCAGAGCAACACAAAAAGTCCTGCACTCTCTCCACCAGGCTGCCCCACTCTGTTCATCACCTAGTTTCTGGAAAGTACCTGGCTCTCCTCATCCCCTTGCCTTTGCAGGTGCAGCTCCCTGGGGGGAAATGGCCTTAACATGATCAGTCGAAGTCACCTCAGAACTCACGTAGTCCCCCTCCCCCGCCTCTGGGAGAGCCATGGCTCGGTGTTGGTTACTTGTTCTGGCTCTGTGTGCCCAGAGCCACCTGGGCTGACCTTTATCAAGTCCCTCTTAATAGTCTCCTGTCACTAGCACTTCACTGCAATCTTTGTACACCTAGGAGCCCCTCAAAGTAGACATTGTGTCTTTTTTCTCTTCTCAGCACATAGTAGAAACTCAAGCAGTGTTTCTGGATGGAATAGTGGTAACACAGAATTTCTCTCCAGGAAGGGCTCAGTGGTAGCTGTCTGGAAAAAGGACCTAGAGCCGTGGTCGGCAAACTGCGGCTCGCGAGCCACATGCGGCTTTTTGGCCCCTTGAGTGTGGCTCTTCCTAAGCCTTAGGAGTACCCTAATTAAGTTAATAACAATGTACCTACCTATGTAGTTCAAGTTTAAAAAATTTGGCTCTCAAAAGAAATTTCAATCGTTGTACTGTTGATATTTGGCTCTGTTGACTAATGAGTTTGCCGACCACTGACCTAGAGGATTTACCCTGAAACCACATTTTCAATTAACATTAATGTTCTCTTTATTTCGTATTTTAAGTTATAAACCTTACAAAATAATAAAAATTTCTAAAAGTTACGTTATTTATATTTTACACAAGATAGAGAAAATATCAGTTTTCTATATTTAAGAATATTACATTAATTGGGGGTGGCTTGGGTGGTGGTAAAGAGAGATTTGGGAATTACTAAGGCATTTCTCCGCCACCCCCCACCCCCCACCCCCCACTCGGGCCCTTAGGAAGGACGGGAGGGAGAGGGATGTGGGGAAGAGCAGTCTGAAGGATGGACCGTGAACTGCTTTGAACTATACTGGTTATTTGTGTTGTTTAGGGGGCGATGAAAAGTGCTGGTTGCCCATGCTTCAGCACTCAACACTCACACCCCTTCCAGCCATCACATTGTCACCTTTCCCATAAGCGGTAGGCTCTTCACAAGAGCATTAACTTGTTTTCTGCTCTTTTAAATATTAATGTCACCTGTAAATTAGATGCTGTTGACCATATACAAATGTTATGGATAATTAATGTTATTTAGTATAGATTTATGAAACATCAATCATCATTGAAGGCCCACATGATCCTGTTCTCTCTCTCCGTTAGTTACCTTGTTTCTGGAGTTCTGGAAGAGGCGCCAGGCAGAGCTTGAGTACGAATGGGACACGGTTGAGTTACAGCAGGAAGAACAGCCCCGGCCAGAGTATGAGGCCCGGTGTACTCACGTGGTGATAAATGAGATCACTCAGGTACGGAGGTGTTTTTTAGATGCATCGTAGTCTACTTATTGCAGGGGTTCTCAACCTCGGCTGCACATCGGGATCACCTGGGACCTTAGCAAATGCTGATGCCTGCGTCCAATCACTACTTACTCTGATGGTACTTGGTGGCCTGGGGTGTGTTCTGGGCACAGGGATTTTTTAAAGCTCCTCCAGCAATCCTCGTGTGTACCCAAAGTGAAGAAGCTGTGCTTAGAACAGTGGACAGGGGAGATAAATGTAGTCCCTTCTTTCATAATAACAGTAAAAATGAAAAAAAAAATACAAAAAAAACTTTGACATAAATGTACATTAAGTCCTCACTGGATGTCGTGATAAGTTCTGCAAACTTTTAAGTACAATGGTATATAATGAAACCAATTTTACTGTAGGCCAATTGAGATAAATGAAAGGTAAGTTACTACATCACCTCGTCAGTGTTATAATGAAATGACACTGAATGAAATGATATTATTTGAGAACCTGCTATATAAGAAAAAGATGTATTGGTTTGCATCCTTTTCTTTTTCCTAATTCCAGTAAAATATGCACAAAAAATAGAGTCTTTGACATAAATGTATGGAAAGATGCATAGGTTTTTAGAGTTAATTCTCAACTTTTCACATGCGCCTTCATTATTTCAGCACCTTTCATCCTAGGCTTAGCTGCCCCTTTGTCAAAAGCCTCAGTCACTGCTCCCCCTTCTGGTTGGGATGTGCACAAAATAGTGTGGCTCTTTCTCTAATTTGGGGGGAAGGATGAAAAAGGAAAACATTTTTTGAGGTCCGACTGTGTTCAGTCACTGTGCGAGGCATTTCATATCATTGGAAAGGTAAATTTGCTGCTGCTACTGCTGCTACAAAATTAAAAACAAAACAAAAAACCTATATATCTTTCTGTATAAATATCCCAAAGCCAGCAAAAGATGATTTTTTTAATCATCTGAATTATTGCTTCTTTCCACCAACACAGACAATTTAGAGCTGATTGTACTTGCAGGCATCAGCTTAAGGACAATGGCTTCTGAAAATGAATAACTCTTAGGAAAAAATGCTTTTCCCAAGAGCTGCTGAAAATGTCCTGACTCTAGATTTTACAAATTGAGTCACAGATTTACAGACTGTCAGCACTAAAAGGGACCAGAGGGAGCAGTTCGACTCCTCATTTCATAAGTGGGGGAAAATGAGGTCCAGTTATCAAGAGAAGATGACATTTGGCTTTGTAACTGTAACAAGTTGTACGTAATCCCCATTATGAATAGCTCCCACTGTTGACTATGGAAGACAAAGCCAAAGCATGTGTTATTGAAAGATCGTAGATTCAGAAATGAGAGCCAAAACTTAGACAGAATTGTATGTTCATAAGGTTTTTTGAGTACTGAAAAACAAAAGCTTATATTGGCAACATAAGGAAAATACTGAAGAAAAATCAACTTGGTAATTTAAACCTGCCAATTTTACATTTAAAGTTGCCAACTAATAGGATTAAATTTCCCTTGTCAAAAAGATTAAAGATGAAAGTTTATTTTAACCTTTATTTTATGTCTCAGTTTACTTTTCCTGCTAATACATCCTCCATTGGTGTAGAGAAGCGTATAGTGCGGTGGTCAGGTCTTGAGAACGAGGTTGCCTAAGTTCAAATCCAAACGCAGCAAGTTGGTGGCTGAATGACTCTGGACAAATGATTTAACTTCTCTGTGCCATTGTTTCCTCGGTTATAAAATGGAAACAAATATAGTTGCTTCCTCAGCTGATGGTAGTAAGGTTGAATCGACTTCATGTTTGGGACCTCCTTAGAATAGTACCCGGCACAGAGTAAATAGCACCAAGGTATTTACAGCGATTGCTCTACTATAGCTTCTCTTACTATCCAGGTAAATCCTGAGAGGTATTGATTTCTGCTCTTAAAATTTTAAATATATTCATAGAAAGGGGAAACTTTAAAAATTCAGTTATGACAAAGTAAACGTGTACAGCTCAACCAGGAAACACATACTGGATTCCTAGCATTTGCAAACATCTGTGAGGCGTTTTGTCTGGCACGGGCTCTGGGCTCTCTATCATTGCTCACTTCTAACACCTAAGACAAGCTCAGGAATGCAGCTTCACGGCGTGGCATTGCAGGTACCCGACTCCCGAGCTCAGGTTATGGCAGATGAATTATTGTTCACACTTGCATTTTCAAAAAATATTATTAAAATGAGCACTGCATATGTTTTGTTGTATGTATGTTTGAAATTGTTAACAAAAAAAACCATGCAATTATGAGGAAGGAGGCTATGTTTGAAAACTAATTTTTAGAAAAATTAAAGTCAGCCTAGGATATAGTGACCCACAGGAGAAAAATCATTTCATTGGAGTAATCCCTTGATTGTCTGAACTGCTTTTTTCTTTTTAATCAGGAAGAAGAGCGGGTTCCCTTCACTACCTGGGGGAAGTGCATTCGTGGCGTCCTCTGCGCCAGTGCTGTCTTGTTCTGGGTGAGTCCTTCACAAAACTTACTATCCTGTTTTAAATGCTAAGGAAGATGGAAGCTGAGCTGGAAACTTGTAATCTTACTGGGGTTTAAATCAGATCAGCAGTCCAGTATTTTCCAGTTTCTGGTGAAGAAGCCATAGGGGAGACACTAAGAATTCTAAAATTTTTCATCAGTAGCAACTAAAATAAAATTCAGTTATGACAAATTAATGTGTAAAGCTCTAAGAATAGTCTTAACAAAAAGATAACAGGAACTATCAAAGAAAAGGCATAAAAACTAGTGAAAAATGTAAAAGAAGCCTCAAATGATTCTAGATCAAAAGATAATATTTCTAAAATATCTGAACTTATGAAATTAATTTTGAGTTTATTACTAATAAAATCATGTTGGAAATATAATGATCTGTAATATACAAGAGTTTTGTTGTCTCAAGAAGAGCCAGATTAGAGAATAGAACATGAAGCCCAGAATGGGCTCTGATATCAGTAATAACTTAATATACTAGTAGGAGAAGGGAGATATTCTAAATCTGGCATAAGTAAAGATTATTCAATAAATACACTTGTTAGCTATTGGTGGAAAAGTTGAAGAAAGAAACCACATGCTATAATAAATTCCAGAAATATTAAAGATAAGTAACACTAGAAATAAATATTGATGAATATATGATCTCTAGATATAAAAAGATTTTCTAAATTTAATAGCAATGGGAGAACTTTTGGAAGAAAATACTTTACAATTTTCATACATCAAAAGAATCCTAAGCTTAAACAAAACACCAGAAGTAATAATTATTAACAAATAGGGCAAAGGGTTAATAACTTCGATACATACAAAGTCCAGATCACTCCTAAGCTAATACTCAAGACCTCAGGAGCTTAGAGGCAGAGAACATGAGTACACAGGCACAAAAGAAAACTGTCATGGCAGATGCCAAACCTCAGTAGTGATTAGATTAGTGCACATTAAAATGAGATGTGATTTTTCACCTCTCAAGTGATGACTCAGTGTTGGAGAGGATGAAATGCAGTGATCAGCACTCTCATATCTCAGCTGTTAGAATTTTACACTGCTCTGGCCTTCTTAGAAAGCCATTTGGCAGTATCAAGAGTCAAAAATATTCATATGCTGTAATCTAATTCAGGTTTTAGAAACTTTTAATCAGGAAGCATTTCAGAATAAGTAAAAGTGAGTAAAGCTTATATATATATATAAGTATGTATATATATTTCAGCCAAAATATTCTACTTCCAACTGTTTATACTGTGGGGTATTGTACAGCTGTGAAAAGCTATGTCCATGAAAATATTTTATGACATATAAAAATGTCATGTTTATGATAGGCTTAAGGAAAAGATACAATTAATTATTAAAGTGACTTAATATGCAAACTCCATGGTTCTGAAGGAATTATGCCTACAGATAGATAGTAGATACATTTTTCCTATTTTTGTGTACGTTTTAGCCTTTACTTTTATAGTTAGGAATCTTTCGGTTGTGGGTGACAGAAAAATCAATCTGCTGCAAAGTGGGGGTTGGAGGGTATCGGTTCCTGTAACTGAAAATCTCAGTCTGAGGCCTGGCTCTGGTCCAGGATAGGTACTGCAGCCCCGATGATGTCAAGGGCTGGGTTTGGTTCCATCTTTATTCTGTGTCCTGTGGTCTGGGCACTCTCCCTTATGGTTGCGGAGTGGCTGCAGTGTTCCAGATCTCACATCGCGTGGAAGCCGGGAAAGGTCTCTCTTAGCAGCGTCCTCTAACAGAAGCTTCTCTTTCCCATGGGCACTAGTAGTTATCTCCTCCTATGAGTGGCTCTTACTAGGTTGTCAGTCCTGGAGTCCATTGCTGAGGTCAATAGGATGAGATACCCATCTGTCTCAGTCTAATCAGGATCCCAGGGGAGGAAGGGCAGTCTAGCCCAAACCATGGGACTAAAAGTAGAGAGAATGCCCCCAAAAGCAAAATCTGGGTCCTTTTCTCAGACTGGAAACAGACCCCGGGCAGCAAAAGCAGCTATTGTTCACGACAGAGTACTTTCAAATTTTCTACGATGAGTACATATTGAGAGTTGTGGTAAGAAGAGTATATTAAAGTTAGAGTGAGGAAAGATAGGTAAGAAACTTGAGGAAGGCGAATGCAAAGCTTCTCTGCCTCCTATGGAGAAATATGGAGCCGGTCACGTGCCTGAAGAAGTTTGCAAACATTAAGTTTGCAAAAGCTCTGGAATGAATTAGAATTCACTTCAGAAACCACATGGGAGGCAGCGCCATGTAGAGGTTAGTAGTCTCTGGAGTCCTTGCATATCTCAGTTACTTCACTCACTAGTTGCTAACTTTGGGGCAAATTGTTTTGTCTCTAGTGGCTCTGGTTCCTCATCTGAAAGGAGATCTGATACTGCCTCCCTCCCCGGGCTGTGTGAGGACGTAAAGATACCTGTGTGCTGAGGCGAATAGTGAGCACTGAAAGAATCTTAACTATTATAATTACTTAATAACCTCAAAAATTATATGGACTATATGTGTTGTGCTGAGAGAGAAAGAATTTGATATACCCTCACTAATATATATTTCTCAGCCTTGGAAATTTTCATATATACGCCACATTTTTTTTTAAAATGTTATTCCTTAACAGTGTAGGAAAGGAGATAATGAGAGAGATTAGAGGAGGAAATATAATCCTTCTCTACAAACTGATGGCCTAAAAAGGTAAGGAAAACATCTTAACACTTTAGCTGCCATAATCAGCGCTAATATTTATATAGTTCTTTTCATATGCCTGGGCTAAATGTTCTGTGTCTTTACTGAGAACAGCTCACTGAATCCTCACAAAAATTCTATAAGTTAGTTGCTATTATGATCCCCCCGTATATGGGTGAGGAGATTGAGGCCCCCAAAGGTTCAGTGATTTGTCCACGGTCCCCCAGCCCTTGAACAGGGCAGAGGCGGATTCCCATGCAGGAGGCTGGCCCCAGGGCTGTGCTTGCAGTCACTGCCTTGACTGCTCTCCAAGGTGAGCAGTCGCCTTCCTCTGTTGCTGTAACCATGACACCATTTGCTTGGTCCCGAGACTCACATTCTTTATGGATTTTCTCTCTCATGGTAGTCATCACCTGCAGTCAGACACTTTGAGTTCATGCTCTGGAGTATGTCCAAGAGGAAGATGCAGAGCAAACAGTTTCAAAGCGGGACCTCTGGTGTGCACTGTTCAGTGGCAGAGAAAACCTGCCTGGTGAGGAAGTGAAATCCTAGCAACCACGTGTTTCACACACTCCTGCTGACACGGGGTGTGCAGTCAAAAATGCAGTGGGTTAGGGCAGTGGTCGGCAAACTGCGGCTCGTGAGCCACATGCGGCCCTTTGGCCCCTTGAGTGTGGCCACAAAGTTTCAATCGCACTGTATGTGCGCGCCCTCACGTGGTATTTTGTGGAAGAGCCACACTCAAGGGGCCGCAGTTTGCCAACCACTGGGTTAGGGAAATGAATCTTGTGTAAACGCAGGTTATGAATAACTGCCAGTGTAAGGTCTTACGATGTGAGTATGAAAAGTGTGTGAAGCTTTGATGAGCAGAGACCTGCTGCCATTTCCAGGGGTTACCCTGGTATCTGCACAGCTTCGGAACTCTGGTCCTGGTCAGACCCGCCCTTGGTACTAAACTAAGACGAAAGCTGGCACCTGCTGAGCCTGAACCAGAGATACGTGCTCTGTTGGGAGGACACATATGCCCTTAATGGAGCAAAAAACACTGATTCATAACCTAAATGACTTCATAAGTATAGAGCAGGGGTGGGCAAACTTTTTGACTCGAGGGCCACAATGGGTTCTTAAACTGGACCGGAGGGCCGGAACAAAAGCATGGACGGAGTGTTTGTGTGAACTAATATAAATTCAAAGTAAACATCATTACATAAAAGGGTACGGTACGGTCTTTTTTTTTTTTTTTAGTTTTATTCATTTCAAACGGGCCGGATCCGGCCCGCGGGCTGTAGTTTGCCCACGGCTGGTATAGAGGGATGTTTTCTCTGGTTCTGCTATCACAAAGACCTTTTCCTTCTACCAGAATGTGCTCCCAGTTATTCCATTTTTACTCCATCTGAAGACGCACTCTCCTTTTTTTTTTTTTTTTTTTTTTTTAGAGCAGCATTGCATTTACAGAAAAATTGCTCAGAAAGTACAGATTTCCCATACTCCCTTACTCCCCACACACAGCTTCTCCTACTTTAACGTCTCACTTGAATGGACACATTCTCTTGTGACTTCCTTCATTCCTTTCCCTTTCTTTGACCTTTAACGCACTTGATTTCTGCCTCTCTTGTGGCAGTTCTGTGAGATTTCACATCACTTCACCCATGCACCTTGTCCACTTAAGGCCTGAGGCTGATTTTTCAGTGTAAAATATGATGATTGAGGAGTCTCACGCTGCTGTGTTTATTGTGCTTTCAGATCCTGCTGATCATCGCTTCAGTCATTGGGATCATTGTCTACAGACTCTCAGTGTTCATTGTATTTTCTGCAAAACTTCCCAAGAACCTGAATGGAACAGACCCAATCCAGAAGTATCTGACCCCACAGACAGCCACATCCATCACCGCTTCCGTCATCAGCTTTGTCATCATCATGATTCTGAACACCATCTATGAAAAAGTGGCAATCATGATTACTAATTTTGGTAAGTTCCTACCAGAGTGTCAGTCGTGTCTAGGACATTTTCAGAACCTGGTGGAGATGGAGACCGTATCTTTCTGGCATTTCAATTCCAGCCTCTAAAATTTCAAGTGTAAACCTATTTTCTCTGGCCTGAGTGGGCGATGAAATTAGCTACAGCTTGGCATTAGTGAAAGGGACAAAGCAGAGACAATCATAATGTCCAAGCTTTGTATAAACAGATCAGTGCTGGATAATATTTGCAGTTACATTACATCATGTGCCCTGTTGTTGAAAGTAAATCGTCTCTTTATTGCAAATAAGTGGAGCAGGGTCATGGTTCCAGTGGCAGATACGCGCCTCTGTTGCTGAGAGGACAGGCGATCGTGCTGTTACATGTCTCCCCCCGTTCTGTTCGCATTCATCCAGCTCCATTCTCTTCCGCTCTGGCTTTTGTAATAAGTGATTCTCCTCTCTGGCTTGTGTCCCAGGCAGCTGCTTTGTGGCCAAAGTTAAGTGCTTCCCACTGGCTGCATGTGTCTGCTCAGTGGTCATGTGCTGAGAGTGATGAGCCCAATCTAAACTCTAAACTAGGAGGGGGATCTGGTTTGTCCTCCCCAAATGCTCCTAGCAAGTTTCCCTTGTTTTGTTGGTTTTCTTCAACACCTACCCTAAAAAAGACGAGAGAATATCATTCTTGCCCATTTGATAACATTGTACATTTTAAGGAACAGTTGAATACTTTTGCCTTGTGGGATATATTTATGGGGGAGAAGCTCTTATAACAATGTGTAAACTTGAATTCACACAGTAGTTGTATTAAGGAGCTCAAAACAGCTTAAATGGAAACAGTGTGAATTGTATTTTTAAAACATTTTAACTCCTGTGTCTTTGATTAGGGTCTCATCACTGTTCACAATTTTTAAAACTTAACTTTTCTTTGGTTAACTACAGAACTCCCAAGGACCCAGACTGATTATGAGAACAGCCTAACCATGAAGATGTTCTTATTCCAGTTTGTCAACTACTACTCCTCGTGTTTCTACATCGCCTTCTTCAAGGGCAAATTTGTAGGTTATCCTGGAGATCCAGTGTATTGGCTGGGAAAATACAGGAATGAAGAGGTATGAACGCAGAGTTATATTCCCAAAACAACTGAAGACAGTTTCTTCATTGTACATGCTTAGATGTTTTTCCAGCCTAAAGTGAAGATCGGAAAAATTAAAATGAATGATTCTGTTTCATGTTAGAGCCATCTAAATTCTAAATGAGATTCTTTTTAATATTCCAGTGTGACCCAGGTGGCTGTCTCCTTGAGCTGACAACGCAGCTGCTGATAATCATGGGAGGAAAAGCAATCTGGAATAACATACAAGAGGTGTTACTTCCGTGAGTGTCAAGTCATGTAATCCGGGATGTGGGACAGGGGGTAACAGAGCCCACCCAGCCAAGCCTTTTGCCTACATGTCCATGTAACTGCATGCCTACCTCTAAGGTAGCATAGACGCGATGCTTATTAAAGGTCTCCGACAAGAAGGTCCAACCAACAGTGTAAACATGTCTGTGTTTACACCTTCATTTCCCGTAAGCCCAAGGCTACAGATTATAGGGACCTGACGTTTGCCTTCCGATATTTCTTCTCCTGATCTAAAACAGTGTGTTTTGAATCATCTTTGCTCTTGTTTGAAAACTGGGAATGCTAAGTGTTAGCCAAGTTAGAGAGTGACTCAGGCTCTTCTTGTCACTGCTTCTTCTCTGTATAGATGCAAGTGTCCAATTCTTTCATACAAAATTCTAACATACTAAAGATACGTTACTCTTGCTACCCAGTGCTACCCCCATCCCAAAAATACATAGGAAGGGAGAGAAAAGCCTTTTAAGTCAGCGACTCTTTTCACACTATTTAAGAATATTATGTTAATTTGGGATTCCACCGTAAATGTACCTCTTCCCTCCCCCCCATGCCCCCGCCCCACTCGGGCCCTTGACTAGGACTCTTGGAGTAAGTGAAGCAGCATACCCGGCACTGAGCCCGAGGTTCCGGCGGGGGTCTCATCAGCACCTGGTGTTTAAAAGGCACTCAGCACCTGCTGAGTGAATGAGTGACTCATATGCCTGAAATCCATAACGTTAATAACTTAATTAGTAAGTTAGTAGAATTGTTTGTGGGACTCGGACAACAAGCTCAGAGCTCCTTGGCCTTCCTGTTCTCACTTGGTGTCGGAGGCTTCCCTGGGAATTTTATGCTGGGCATACTTAACAAGCTGGTGCAATCTCTGCATTAAGCAGCTCACTCTGGAGAAATTTTTATGATAAAATGTTAAGGAAAATAATTAAAGTTAAATATACAAAATGCCAACAGCATCATCCTTTGGTCAAAGTTTAGATAATGGATGGCTGTAATTGTCTTCCTTTATGTTTTCTGTACTTTCCTCAATGGGCACGGACTACTTACAAGAAAAGTGAACTGTTCCCTTGAGAAGAGATATTTTATGTGCATTGGCTAGAGGGGGAACCAGAGACCTACAATAAGAGAACCCTGAATACAGGTATCCCTCATTGCTTTTTAAATTCAGGAAAAATATAAACTCAGGCATGAAATAGACTCAGGGAGTAAAGGATGCTTGTGTTCAAAGTTAGGGAGTGGGAATCCTAGAGAACATTCAAAACACAAATGGTGATTTTCTGCCGTATGTGGATTAAATATAATAATGAAGATCAAAGAGAAAATGAGGTACAAAGTACTTCACGCTGTGCTCTACACCTAATAAAGGCTTCGTAGAAGGCAACTTATTACAATGCTGTGATGCTAATATGCCTGGTAAATTCCTAGGAAAATTATTTAGTAACCCCTGCTGGAGGGAGGAAGCCTGCAGCCGTGGCCAGGGGAAGAAGTGTCTGGTGTCTGTCTTTTTAAAAATTGCTCTAGGTGAGTCTCATGTGCAGTCAAGATGGATGTCCCTGCACTAGAATCATGACCCAGTAGAAAACCCAAAGACCAGGGGCGATGATGGACGGACTACAGCCTGAGATTTCCTTCCACAGATGAGTGGCTCATTCAGGAAGACTGAACAGGAGGCTTCGCGTCTGTAGCTCAGGAAGGAAAGCTCTTCAGAGAGACTGAGCTCTGACGTGATTAGTTCTGGGTGAGGGAAGGCAGGACAGTACGTACCAGAGGGAAGCGCCGGAGGAGTCAGTCATGCCAGGACAGAAGTTTCCACCCAAATCCAAACTGTGATGGATTTTAGTAAAAGACCTGCCTCTCTGGGCCCCGGAGAGGATTCAGCAAGAGGCTGAGGCTGGAAGTGTGAGGCAGAGCAACACAGAAGCCAATCGAAACCAGTGATCTCGAGTTTGGGGTCAGGAGGGGTGATGGGCACGTGTGGTCCCTGGTGCCGCCTGCGTCACAAGACTCCTGTAAAACCGCGGATTCCCAGACTTGACGGATTTCAGAGCTTTGTGTTGGAGCCTAGGAAGTAGCACCAGCAACTAGCATTGTTTTTCTTGTAAGGGCTGGAGTGAGATCCGCCGATCCAGACAGCACTGCGTCCCCAAGCCAGTTCTAAATAACTGAGGCCTGGGTGGGTCAAAAACTAATCCTGTGTGGTGGGGTCTGAGGTGTAAGGAAGTGTGCTAATGCTTTACCTGTTCTGAATCATTCAGTCCTGACAGCAACCCTGGGCAGTGGAGGGTTTATCACCCATTTGATTTGAACTTGACCAAAGGTACATGGTGACTAAGCAGTGAAGTGTGGATTCAGACTCAAGGGGTGTCTGCGTGTGTCCACATCCCCTCCACCTGCCACAGCCTCCTGCTTTGTCCCTAATGTCATAGAAGAGAGACAAGTGGGGAAGGATCGTGAAGCCAGGGGCACGTTTATCGTAGAGAAATCTCCCTTAGTAAACCTTATGGAATGGTCAGTGCAAAGTTAATGCTGAGATCAGCAGCAGTGGGAAACCCCACATGGTGAGCTAGTCATATCTTACCGTGTGTGTGTGTGTGTGTGTACACGTTCCCACGTGTGTGCATGCACATGCAATTTATACAGCTGCCTTTACTTAGTGGGAAGCCTTCTCACTGCCCGAATGTGAAATCCATATAAGCATGGTGTTCCTTCAGCCGAAGCTTAGTCGGATGTTTGTGTCTGCATTTGAAGTTTGTTGTTGTGGCTCCTCCCCTGATGAACGCCACGAGGAAACCACAAGCCCCGCTGCTTTAGGGGACAACGGTTCTCTCTGCTGCAGGTGCACTCTCAGGTCGCTGCCAACTTCGAGTTCTTTTCAGGACAAATTGCCATAAAAAGGGGGAGCATTTCTCTGGGCCACTAGGCTTTGAGGAAGAGAAAAACACAACATAGAAAAAGAACAGCGAACGCTCTGCGGGGACAGTGTGCAGCAATGGGCAGAGCTGGGCCACCCACGGCCGTCTCCTCCTCGCTCTGCGTGATGGCTTCCAGGAAGTTTATCGTGTCTCTGGTCCTCGATATGTCCCGCTTAGCATAGGATCTTGAGCTGTTTTATCCCATCTTGAACTATCTCACGTTTTCTCTGTGTCCCTCAGTGGCTCCCCAGTTCCCTCAGAGTAAAAATCACCCAAATCCTCACAATGGTCTCTTTGTCTCCCCTGCTTGCCCCTTTGCCTTCTTTTTTGTTGTTGTTAATCCTCACCCGAGGATATTTTTTCTATTGATTTTCCTTTAGAGTGGAAAAGAGGGAGGGGGTGAGAGAGAAAGGAACATCGATGTGAGAGACATAGATTGGTTGTCTTCTGCACACGCCTTGACCAGGGCCAGAGATCAAACCTGTACGTGCCCTTAACCAGGAATCAAACCCAAGAACCTTCTGTGTGCAGACCAATGCTCTAACCACTGCTCAGTGACACCCTTTTACCTTCTTAGTATCTCTTTTCAAATGTTACTTTTAACAAACCAAGCTGCCACCACCCCACTCCTCCCTACCACAAATGCAAACACTTTTTCTCCACAGCACTTATCACCAGCTCACAATCCATGTCTTTGTTTTTCTCTGGAAAGACAATTTTGTATAACATAGAAATGAGAAAAAAAGAAAGTTAATCAAAAGAGGGAAAGCATCTTTTAAAAACTAAACTGCCCATATAAAAGGAGCTAAGAGAAAATGTAGCAGTTACAGTTTTGATACCCTGAAGTACATAGTCAAAGCACCAGATGAATTTTTTGGGAAGATAATGCATTCAGCTCGAGATATCACTAAATACTTTTATGACCTGGTCTGATAACATTCTAACTCATCATGTGGTCCTTTTGGCAGCTGGATCAAGAATCTAATTGGACGCTACCGCACAGTTTCAGGTTCAGAAATGGTAACCCCGCGATGGGAGCAGGACTACCACCTGCAGCTCATGGGAAGACTGGGATTATTTTACGAGTATCTTGAAATGAGTAAGTCACAAGTGATATTTTAGATGACATAAGTTATAATGGAGCATCAGTGATATTTTAAGTGATATAAATTATATTGGAGCATGTTTTGGATCCCAAAAGTCAGGGTTATCAAGCCAAATAATGATCTAGCATATTAAAATGGGATATGTTTTCCTCCATTTGAAAGCCTGATAATATAAAACTATAGAATCAGGCTTTCACATAAGGTGACTGTGTATCTTCGTTGTACAGAGTTAAAGATGTACCATCGATGATACGGAGTAGTCATTGAGGTTCATCTTCACCGTTCGTTCTCGGAGCATTCTAACCATGTTGTCTGAGACTGAACTTGAAACTATTATTAGATGTGATTCGGCCCGGCTGGAGTCCATGCGGGCACGGCTGTTGGCAGATGCACTTCCAAACCAAGTCCTGTAAGCAAGGCTGTGCAGGAGGCCAGGAGGAGGGACATGTTGCTGCTTGTCCCAGGGGTGATTCAGGGCCCCCCCTCCCCCCCGCCTGCTTTCACACCTGCCTCTAGCAGCGTATCTATTCCTTCTGGCTGGTGGTTCCTGCCTGGTTCCTTGAGTGACCTCATGACTCATCACTGGCCTGAATTTAGAACCATGTGGCTGGTCTGGAATTAAGATTTAGCACAGGCCTTCTGCTTCTTGATGGCCTTTGTCCATTAGTGGAGTGTTTGCTTCGGCTCTGTTTCTCTCCCGTTGAACTGGATTTTGAGCTCTCAGTTGCCTTTAAATGGATGCACCTCAAAATAGATTTCCAACTTCTTTTCTATTATGCACGGCACGATTATATCTGTCAGAAGGCTAACAAGGTGTATGTTTTGTATCTGCGCCCTTTCAGCTAACCATTGCAATGAATTACAGTTTCTTAAGCTCAGGAGAATAGAACAGGAGGCACAACATTTTGGGTGACAGACCTTGCATTTATGCAAAGGGGGTCTGTGTGTTTGCAGACACCCTTTGTGGTTCCTGTTTACAAGTCGGCAGAGAGAAAGGGCGGCTTTTATTAAGTCACATTCTATATATAAAATAATTGCTTGTAAAAATACATGTGATCCATGGAAACACAGCTGCTTCCTTCAGTGAGTGAAAGGTTCATCTCGGAGCTTCTACAGTCAGCAACGCTTTGCACCCTGAAGTCTGATTTGAATTTCCTTTTTGCTCGTGTTATGTTTTGTGACCAGGTTCAATTAAGGGTGTAGCTGCCATACATAATGCAGAAGCTATATTTATTCTGTTTCCAAAAGGACTTTCAAGACACTTACCTGTTATTCTAAAATGAGTCATAATTATAAATATTTCATGTGGAGCCATTATCAGCATTAATAACAACATGCTGGGGCAGAATGTCATTTGTTATTTTAGCACCAATAAAAGTTGGGAAAAAAAGAGTTATTTTCCTGGAGTTGATTAGTCAAACCAGTGACATTGAGAGGAAAAGTTGCAGGGTTGTGGCTTGGGGAGAAGTTGATATGACCTTTAGGGTTTCCTACTCTCATTAAAATAATTTCCAACTAAATAATTTGGCCTCACCCTATCTTAAAAGATGAAATAACAACTGTTATAGTTTTTTTATATTTATTAAATTGTTTTCCTATTATCTAAATAATACCTAATGAATTAGAAAAATTAATCAATTTATAAGAGTAGGCAGTCTGTTATTCCATCTTCAACTCCATAGTGAAATCGATTATTTTGTGGGCGATAGAATTCCTAAGTGCTTTCTGAACTATTTTTGTTTTTCTAAAGAGAGTGCCTTTGGTGGTGGTCTCATCACCACACAGTTTCTCCTTCCTTCCTGTTTCCCATATCATGATGATACCACCATGTGCTTTTCAGTTATGAAGGGGAACACCTTCCGACAAACAACCCTGGAGCCCTCCGGCCTTGCGCCGGCACGGAACACCTGCCTTCTGTTCTGTCTGAGGAATTCCTGCCAGGCCCCCGCAGCGACCCTCCACTTCCCCCACACACTAGCTGTCCTATTCTCAGGCCTTAGCTTGATCCCTGTGCGGCGGTAGGGACCAGCTTGCTTCTGTAGGAGGGAGCTGCCAGGCCTCCGCTTCTTCCATTCGCAGCTGGAACACCCCCGCCTGGCCCTAGTCCTCATAGTCACGTAAGTGACTTGAGCTTGGAGTTTCAACACACACATCCCACTGTGAGTGGAATTTACATTAAGATTGCTCCAGCCACCCCCACCAAGTTCTGTAGGGCATAGGTTTTGGGGGGGACTTTTTTTTTAATATATTTTTATTTCAGAGAGGGAGAAAGAGATGGAAACATCAATGATGAGAGAGAATCATTGATCAGCTGCCTCCTGCTCCCCCCTACTGGGGATAGAGCCCACAACCCAGACGTGTGCCCCGACTGGGAATCAAACCAGGACCTCCTAATTCTGTGGTCGGCAAACTGCGGCTCGTGAGCCACATGCGGCTCTTTGGCCCCTTGAGTGTGGCTCTTCCTAAGCCTTAGGAGTACCCTAATTAAGTTAATAACAATGTACCTACCTATATAATTTAAGTTTAAAAAAATTGTCTCTCAAAAGAAATTTCAGTCGTTGTACTGTTGATATTTGGCTCTGTTGACTAATGAGTTTGCCAACCACTGTCTAGTTCATAGGTTGGTGCTTAACCACTGAGCAACACCGGCCGACGAGAGAGGGAGGGTGCTTTTTGAGTGAAATTTCTTTTTATTTAGCAAATTCTCCACTATCCTTTGAGATTATTGGAGTAATCTGGGGTGTTAACCAAAATTGCCTCCCTGAGTGTATGGTTGTGACTTCTGAAATCTTGGGCATGGGACATAAGAGAAATGGTCTGTCGGTCTATAGTCCGGAGGCCGTAAGCTAGCATTTCGTACATAGAGCACGACACAGCACAGGCACCAGTGTCTCCAGAACTTGGCAATGCCTTCCCAGTGGGCACGAGCCATAAATGGACTGTAATAAAGTGATGACATGGGCCCTGTTTGACCTCACCTTCCTCCATCCATAATTTTTAAAAATTAAAACAATGTATTAATTTCTCCATTTAATTTACTGTAATTAATACCAGCTGTCTTCACCTGCTCCTTGCACCACCCCTTTCCTCTCCTCTTGCTCCAGGTCTACAGCACTCCAACCCCTCTCTCTAGGATGCAGGCCTGTCTCCCCCACCTCCTCGCCTCTGCTCTGTTTCCATCCACCACCTGCATTGATGTTTCCTTGTCTTGGCAGGATGAGCTTTCCAAAATGGAAGAAGCATGATAGCTAGGTAGCCTTTAAAAAAAAATGTGTGTGTACACATATATACTTTTATATATGTGTACATACACATATACCCCATGGCTTTTTAAAATTTAAGGAAAACAATAACGAAGAGGAAACACTTGTCACAGAGAGGGAAATGTTTGGCCATATCAAAGTCAGCCTAGTGTGCACATCACTAAAGACTGAAATGTGAGTGCCGCGGGCAGATGCAACAGGCGTCTCGGTGCAAGGGTGAGGGCTGCGGCAGGGGTGGAGAAAGACTCAGCATAGGTACTTCAAGAAACTTGACTTTAAAGTGATCAAGAAAGCATGGAAAGTATTAGCATGTACAGGGGTGGGCAAACTTTTTGACTCGAGGGCCACAATGGGTTCTTAAACTGGACCGGAGGGCCGGAACAAAAGCATGGATGGAGTCTTTGTGTGAACTAATATAAATTCAAAGTAAACATCATTACATAAAAGGGTACGGTCTTTTTTTTTTTTAGTTTTATTCATTTCAAACGGGCCGGATCCGGCCCACGGGCCGTAGTTTGCCCACGGCTGAGCATGTAGGTCATGAAGAAGTGCCAGGTGAGGGTTATCTTTGTTTTCCCGATGGGTGTTTTTGCCCTGCTGAATTGAATTGATAGGCTGTTACTTTCTCTTGCTTGCTTGCTTTCAAAAGTTGTTCTCACTTTAATATCAGAACAGACTATACCAACTGGAATTGATTTTGGTGTCAAAAGTGAGGACTCTATGCCAGTTTTTCCAGTGTGGAGCTAATCTCTCCATGCTCGAATCTACTGATTTGAAGTATCATATTTATAATACATTAAAATCCCATGAGTATCTGCATCTATTCTTGAAATCTATTCTGTATAATTCATACTATCTACTAGTGCACCTTTATAAACTGTTTCCATTATCATAGCACCGTAATATGTATTAATATCTCGTAGAGCTAGTCCCGTTTCGTTGTTTTTCAGGATGTCCCTAATACTGTCAGTTCACACATTCTTCCTACTGTTTTATTTGTGTATATTTCTTAAAAATTTTCAGCATCACCTTTCAGCTTTCTTTATTCATTTGGGATTGTTAACTAAATTTGCATTCAAATTCTAATTTATATTTTAGAGGGAAAAAATGTGATATGTCCCCAAAGTTGAGTCTGCATCATTTATTCATTCATTTGTTTTACCTTATTTTTTAAAGGCATTGTAAGAGTCTTAACATTTCTCACTAATTTATTTCTAAATCGTCTGTACTTTTGTTGTCATTATAAATGGTATCTTTTCTTTTTTGGGTTTTTAGCTGAGCTTACTGCCAGTCTAGTCCGAATTTCTGGCTTCCCTTGAATCATGAGCTCTGACAGCTGTGAGTGGTCCCTTCGTTAGGACACATGCACTTGCCAGTTCACATCTGTAGGAAGTTGAGTTCATTTAGGGTTAGATGAGTCACAGACACAGACATTGACATCACTGCTTGATGCTGCGCTGCTGACTCCATGACATCACCAGCTCTAGTCCTTGCTTATCTGATTTCCCTGGACATGACCACACCTGTTTGTACCACAGCCTGGCCGCTGAGACCGGAAGCCATTGCCAGCTGCTCCTGCCCAGCCACTCTCCACAGCCTGGCCCTTCCTGGCCAGAGTGGTCCCTGCCCCTTGTCTAAGCAGTAGCCCTAAAGGGGCTGACATTCTCCTCTCCTCCACAGTCTTACTTGCATTTGTAAGTCTGCCAGTTAGGAGGGAAGGGTCTAAAACGGAACATAATATCGTAGAGTATTTATAGTGTACGCCACGTAAATTACAGGCAAGAAGAGAACTTCTAAGTCACCACTTGCATCTTGACTTATGGTGACCACATAGACTGCAGCAACTTCAAGATAAAACTTCCTAAGGAAGGATTGTATTTTAACTTAAGACACGTTTGTCACGTACATTTCTGTGATGTGTGGTAATCCCTCAACTTCTCTGACTGCTGCCCTGGCAGACTCAGGGGAGCTTGCTCATTTGCCTGTTTTCAGCATATTTCCTCCACCGTTCTCTAAGCGGAGTCTTCCCAAAGGTGCATGTCTTATTACTTTTTAGCTTGTTAGATATTGCCACAGTTTTTTCTTTTTTTCAGTCCTAACTCACAAATCATCTTCCAGTGTTCTATTATTTCAACATTGAGAATGAATTATATGCTTAGAGTGTCCCAAGTTCATTTAGCAGCAAATAACTTTGGTTGATTAAAGATGTTTAAATATATTATTCCTATTAAGTATATAAATGTGAAAGAAACAGGCTATAATTCATCTTTTTCCTTAGAGTTCTCATATTTGTGTTTTAATTATTTCACTGTTGAATATTATTAGTGCCACAAATGTCTGTTCTCTTTGGGGGTTAGTTTGTTGTTTGCTGTTGTCTTTCCATCCCTCCACCATCCATGATGTGTGTCCATTTCATTGACAGTTATTCAGTTTGGCTTTGTCACCTTATTTGTGGCCTCTTTTCCACTGGCCCCTCTGTTGGCTCTGGTGAACAATATATTGGAAATACGAGTGGACGCGTGGAAAATGACTACCCAGTACCGTCGCATGGTGCCAGAAAAAGCCCAGGACATCGGAGCATGGCAGCCCATCATGCAAGGAATCGCAATTCTGGCTGTGGTAACCAACGTGAGTAAAACCGAGGTCACGGGGTCAAGTCGTTGAAAAGGGCAAAAATACATTAGCATTGCTACCTGAGGAATCAGATGTTTGGTATTTCTTAAAATGGGAGAAAGATGCAAGACTATCATCCATATCAACAACATAGTTGTAATTGTTCATATTTTTAATATTTTTAATGTATTTTATTTGTAATTATCACTCATGACTTACAAAGTCAAGATCTCTTACTGAGGCAGTTGCTAAGAAGACTAACCATTATATTATTGTTGCACATGTGCTAAAGTTTTTATTCCCTAGAAACATGGTAATAGTAATAACAAGTACTGACTTTTAATCCTCACATGACTGTAAAAGGAAATACCCAAAAGTGCCTTTATAATGGAGATAAAAATCGATCCATTTAAATATGAGGACCCTAAAATAGCGGCTATCATTCCACCATATTTTACCATTTATTCCAATTTATCAATGTAAAATATTAACTATTTGGTGATGAAATATAAACACTTTGTGCATTCCCAATTGGTGTCACCTTCCTTGTCTCCGAAGACAGAGGTTCTTTAAGGAGGCAGGTCCCATCTCTCCTCCCCACCCCACCCCTTAGTCACGGCGAGTCACTCTCTGGTTATCGGCTAAGCCACTGCATACCCTGCATGTATCCCAGCTGTGAGGGAACAGAATTCATTTGTTTACAAGCTGTACTGATTATGGACCTGTCTGAACAATCTCTCTCTCTCTCTCTTTTTCCCAACAAGCCAACAGGAAGCTCTCAGGCAGACTTCCTGCCCCAGAAGTATTCTTACAACCAGGCTATTTCTTCCCTTATTTCACAGCCAAGTTCACTCCCAGGTTGCAGTCTCCAGCAACATGATATCCCAGTTTTAATTTATTAATCAAGCCACACTTGCCCTGAGTCCCTAGCCTTTTCCCACAAGCACTTACAGAAACAGAACCGAATTCGGCAGCGCCCGTGGGCCAGGCTCCTGGATGGGGGGCGTAGCCGAGCACTGCAGGCTCTGGGGTCAGACCCGAGCTCCAGCTCCCAGCTCTGCAGCATCCCAGCCGCACCACCTCGGGCCAGGCCTTAACACTCCGAGCTCTTTTCCTCATTTGTAAATTGAATAATTCCCAAGCACACACTTTAAGAATATCGTATACCACAACGGGCGGTTAGGGAATTCAGAGAGTTAATGTGTGGAATGCTCAGGGCCTGGGCCTCCTGGAATGTTAGTTGCCGCTGTTTATCCTCTGCATTCCTCTTCATCATTCACAGTGACTCCGTGGAGACTTGGACAGGTGTCTAAGCTAGAGGCACAAGAATTTAACAATGTGCTACTGTCTGGACCAGGCTTAGTTATAGTTCTCTGGGATCCAGCTGTCACCCCCCAGAATTCTCAGTTGATCTGAACTGCATGCCATCCCTCCTTTTTGGAGAAAGTTGCAAATCTCACACACACACAAAAGCAACTAATAGGTTCCATGAGCGTCCATTCCCCCAGAGAGCCCACACTTTGCACATCCACGGCGCTGCGAAATGCAGACTGATGTTGGGAAATGCGACAGTGAGGCTTCAAGTTCCACCGCCATAAGAGAATGAATCTGTCACATTCAATACGCTGCCCAGCACTAAGCGGGGCGGGAACGTGGACTTGTGTGCTTTAGCCACGTTTTCAGCAACAAGGTTTGAAACCAAAAGCGTTTTTGTTTGACCTTCAGCTAACCAGAAAATTCAATTGAGTCCTACTCCCCATTCCTCAAGCGTCTGGTTTGATTGTATCAGGCACCTTGTCCTCGTATCCCCAGCCTGGCTCCACTCCCTCAGCGCAGATGGAGTACTGGCTGTGTTTCCAGGGCCACCCTCTGTGTATGTACGCGTGTGTGCACACACAGGCACACGCGCGCATGCTCATGGTGCTGCTGGGTCTTACCCAGGTAGGCGTCGTTTCTTGCGCATGTATATCATCACCTCGGCTACCGAATGTGGGCCTCCCCAGACTAACATGCACAAGAAAGGCTAACTTTCCAAAATAGGGGAACTTTTAACTGTAGGAAGAAGAGAATAGCGATAGCAGAGATGAAAATGGACATTAAGCAGGAGTTTGGTTTACAATCATTTTAAAGCTGCTCACTCAGTAAATAAGATGAATTGACATTGTTGTATTGTGCCAGAGCATCTGCTATTGAAGACCAATTTTAATTTATTTTTACATAAAGGGAGAATTGTGTTAGGAACAGCATGTGAAATGAAGCACTGCATTTATTTATACTCAAAGCAGCTCAATTCAGGAGGAGAAAGTATCTTGTCTGAAGATAATAGAATTAACTTCCTTGTCGGAATTTTTGTAGCTCCCTAAAGCACATCTGCAGGTGGTTCTCTAAAAAGCTATAGTTGAGTAAAATAGCAAATATTCTTGCCTTATACCACCACCACCACCACCACCACCACAGAAATATTTCACTTTGGGGGAAATCTTGCAATACAAAAGCCCCTTATTTGTTTTCCTAGTTTGCCTGAGATCTTGTTTGTTGACTTGTGGCCTCACTGTATCTAAACCATATGTTCCTATGAATGCTCTTACAAATCATAGCGTGCCAGAAACAGGACTGTTCTTCTGCTTCAATAAATACCCAAATCAGTGAGCTTTGTTTAGTCACATAGATTTTGGATTGAAATATTCTTTCTCCTTCCTTCAAACCAATTTTACACATTGGAAAGCTTAAAGCCCAAATTAAAAACTTTTGGAGAAAATCCATGTAATAGTACTTGCCTTCTGAGTAGATGTCTGCCTATCTGCCTAGTTTAGACCCACGTTTAACTTTGACCCATACTTATTCCTTTAATCTGGAAACACACTAGACTTTGTTATTTAATAATTTATAATGTTCACAACTTTATCCATTTAATATTTTAGATGTTTAGAGGCTTAGATACTATATCTAACAAAACAGACATCATTGCTTGACTGTGTGAATGGAGCAACCCAAAGGGGGGTGGGGGTGGTTCTGTTGTTGTTTTCTACATTTTAATAACATTAATTTAAAAATAGTTGCTCTCTAATGAAGCAACATCCATAAGTATATACTGACAGTTTAAAATAAATCAGATTATGGACTGACTTGTCTAAACAAGTCTAGATACTATAGAATAAAAGTTTGAATCTAAAGGCCATTAACTTAGATCAAGGAAAATGTATTTTATGCAGCTTACATTCCATTTTTAAGAGACAAACTATTTTAAAATCAGTTTTGTATTAATTATTTACACTACAAAAGAATTATATAGAGCCAAATTATTTTTAGAATATTACACCTTCTCCATCTAAATCATAAAAGATTTAAATTATATTGAATAGAGCTCCAAGGTTGATTGAATTTTGTTATATTCTAATTTTTGAAAAAATAATTCACATGCATTATATATGCAAGCAGCTCTTAAGTCATCCACAATTATTTTTACCTTACTTAAGAAACATCTCAGGCAACTATAGGCCTTGCTTTTGAACTGTAGATAAGATTTCTGGACATTTTTTAGAATTGAAGATGAAAAGGAAAGGAACTATTCTACTTTAACACTAGATTGCCCAAGGAAGTCATTTTGACTGCTTTTTAATTTCAATTAGAAAAACAATTATGTATATAAGGACACAATGTCTTAGAATTTTGTGACTTTTTGTACAACATATAAATGCGTTTATTAATAATTGTAGTTACCTCCCCCTCCATTTCTGGTATATATATATGTGTTATACCTATATTGCCCAAAAGCAGTCATTTTGACTGCTTGGGAAATTTTAAATAATCAAATGACTATTATTATTGAATTGAGTAAATTTCTTATATGACCAGTTTGGCTCTGTATTGAAATAACAGTTTTCTTTTTTTTTTCCGATTACCGTCACATGATAACATACAAGTACATGATAAATTGTCGATACTTGATAAGTTGCAGTTGCTCAATAAGCTAAACTAGTACTTGTTATTCGAATCTTTATGCAGTGATACTTGTTCTAATAAGTTGTTTATTGTATTTCTTTTGCGCCCTAAATTCATGAAAGAAATGTCGAATAGAAGTGAGTTATTGGAAAAGCTAAGGAACATAAGTGAAGAGTGCTCCGATATTATTCTTTCACAATGCAGTCATTTCGACTGCTTTTGGGCAATATAGGTATACACTAAATTTCAGTCTTTCTAGTGTTAAAGCAACTGCTCAAAGATTTTAGGATATTTACTCTCTATATCCATTTGTTACAGATTTAGTTAGGAAAGAATTAAGGTTCCCGAATCTTTAATTTTAAAAACAATCAACTGATAAAAATGTAATTCTGGCATCTTTGTTAACCATCCCTAAAAGGGCTCTAAATTAATGCCCCCCTCTTGTTTTCCTCCCAACACAGGCCATGATTATTGCTTTCACATCAGACATGATCCCCCGCCTGGTGTATTACTGGTCCTTTTCTGTCCCTCCCTATGGGGACCACCCCCACTACACCATGGATGGATACATCAACAATACTCTCTCCATCTTCAACATCGCGGACTTCAAAAACAGAAGCAAGGGAAATCCATACACTGGACTTGGCAACTACACCACATGCAGGCAAGTTTTGCTTATGTGTTTAAAAATGTATTTCATCTTTAGGACTTTGATTGTAAGGCAATTCTATTTGGTATAATTTAAATAAAATAGCTAGAGATATCTTTTCCTAGCTATCTTTTTCTATCAAACTTAAAGGATAATACATAAAAGTTAATACAAACTAGGATTAGAGCTTCCAATCATAAAGCAAGATTTAAAGGTGAGAATTTCAAATGATTACAGGGAGACTGATTCCAAAGAAAAGACTTATATTTTAGAAAAAAGAAACTTAAGAGTTCCAAAAAGCAAGATAATTCATTTGTCATGACTAATGTGTTATTAAGCACAACCTGACAACATTGAATGATGACAAACTAGCTCTCTCATTTAACAAAGAAATGCAAAGACAAGAAATGCAAATACCTCCACCCCGCCAGCAATATTCTCTAAAGGTATTCCAAAGTGCTCTGCATTTATTTTAATGGCCGGTGGGATCAACTGTGGACAGTATATGTGAACTAAATTACCCCTTGATAAAGTTTGTTGAGTACATACAGGTCATTGATTAACTTTTTTTTTCCAATCAGTGACTTAAACCTAAAGGAGGATTTAAAATGTATTTAGTTCTACTCCTCAAAGCCTTCTTCAATTCAGATTCTCAACAACACAACCAAGAAACCAAAAATAAGCCTCAAATAAAAGTTTCAAATTTACACACAGTAGAGCTTCTTCAGAATTCCACATTGAATCTGCTTTATATAATTCCAGAGAGTAATTAAACTCTCCTAGGATTAATAGGTTACAGGAAGAAAATTAGAGGTGTGCTGCTTAAGGGAGAGACATCAACAGCAGTAGCACATGATATCTGACCACAAGGAAACGAGCAAGAAACTTGTAACAAGCAGACAGTACTCCCAATAGAGGAGAGAACCCCATAGCTGAGTGAACGCCGATGGCACCATGAGATAAACAAATTTATAACTATATTTCAGAAATACACTCAATTGTTTTAGTTATATAGTCTTAAGAAAGCAAGGATAAAACGCTAGGAAAAAAATGTAAGACACCTTTGTTCTCTTTTTACAAAGATGGAATCTGTCATTACCATCATTTCCCCATTGTATGTGAAATATCACTGGAAGAAATATCACTGGAAGAGTATTTCAGGGTTTTGTTACCAAATTAAACTCTTAGAGAATATTTATATGATGTCCAACTTTAAAAAAGCGTTGTTTAAAATAGGACCTCTTTTTAAATGGGCCCTTTGTTTACAGTATTTGATCAAAAAGAATGACCTTCTGATCTGCCCCCACTGTGTTTCCAGGTATCGTGATTTCCGGTACCCTCCTGGACACCCTCAAGAGTATAAACACAACATCTACTACTGGCACGTGATCGCGGCCAAGCTGGCTTTTATCATTGTCATGGAGGTAGGAGAAGCAGTCAGACTTTGAAATAATTTATACGGCAATATATTTGCATACCTTTCATCAGCTTTAAGTGTTTCCGACTCCGTCTTAAAATGTACAATACATTCTTATCTCTTGCTAACAATTATTTTAGGACATGTGTTAATCAAATTTGACCTGAGAATACCCATAAAGCTCACATGAATTAAATGAAGTTGCTTATCTGCTTTAAAAGTTAAAAGCACGTTGTGTGCTAAGGGGATTCAATTCTTTTCAGTTCAGTATGGAGTGTCTTCAGTAGGGGGTGGGGCACTGGGCTACATGTTAGGCTGAGAAGGGGCTTACTCAAAATGAGTAAGATCTGATCTCTGCCTTTGAGAAACTTATTGCTGTTAATAGTTTTACTTGTATTATTATGTCTATTAGTTTTACTTGTGTTATTATATTTATTAATTTTCATAAAATACCTTCTTATAATATTTTTATAATATTTTGTATTCTTAAAGTTAACCAGCTTTGAAAAATGAATAAGGCAGCTATCAATTTGAAATTGATCTAGTCAACTTTACTTTTTACACTGAGTGAATAGCTCCCACCAAATTCCAGAGCCTCAGAAATTGCTTGCTGTGGTCAGTTAGGATTACATTTAGCTGCAAGAAACAGAAAATCCATCTGTAGTGGTTTAAACAAATAAGGGTTGTTTTTTCTCACATAAACTTCACTGGAAGTAGGTGAACGCTCCTGAGTCGATAACAGCTTGCTGACACAAGGAGCATGTCTCTGATTTTCTAGGTTTTCTCTCATTCAGTGCCACTTTATGATTGCAGCATGATGGCTGCAATTCCAGATAACAGGCTATGTCCTCGTCAGAAGGAGAAGGACAATGCTAGCCATATCTGTTCCTTTTTGTCAGGAAAGAAAATATTTTGCCAGAACGCCCCAGGGAAGACTTCCATGTATATCTCAGTTACCAAATACTAATAAAAGAAGAAAATAATTCATCATTGGCTCACCATAATAAGTGGGTTCTAGAAGTACTGTATCTGGTATACAGCAAGAGTTACTAGTTTATATTCAAGTATGTCATTACCAAAGTGTTTAGATTTCTACTTTTGATCTCATGGTATACTAGTTACTGTGGGGCCATCTCACTACAAAACATTTGGAATCATCTTAAAACATAGTTTCCTTTGCTTTTGAGCTCACAAGGGAGGAGAATCTACAAGAGGGAGCAGCATCTCTTCCAAGACCCAGAGATTTAACAGCTCTACATAAAACATAGACAGAAACACAGGGAGTCAGCCAAAATGGGGAGACAAAGAACATGCCGCAAATAAAAGAACAAGAGAAAATCTCCAGAAAAATAACTAAATGAAATGGAGGCAGGCATTCTATCTGATACAGAGTTCAAAACAATGGTTACAAAGATGTCAAGGAACTTAGAACTTTAACAGCATAAAAGAGGACATAGAAACCACACACACAAAAAAACACACACAACAGAAATGAATATATATATTTTTTTATTTATTGCTTAAAGTATTACAAAGGGTATTACATATGTGTCCATTTTATCCCCCCGCCCTAGACAGTCCCCTAGCCTCCCCTATCCCCCAGTGTCTTATGTCCATTGGTTATGCTTATATGCATGCATACAAGTCCTTTAGTTGATCTCTTACCCCCCTATCTCCTGCCCCCCAACCCTCCCCGGCCTTCCCACTGCAGTTTGACAATCTGTTTGAGGCAGCTCTGCCTCTGTATCTATTATTGTTCAAAAGTTTATAATGGTCTCTATTATCCATGAATGAGTGAGATCATGTGGTATTTTTCCTTCATTGACTGGCTTATTTCACTTAGCATAATGCTAGAAATGAATATATTAAGAGCAGTGGTTCCCAACCTGTTTTGTTTTTTTTTTTTTGGCCATGCCCCCACCCTCGCCATGACATATCTTTCTTATTCAAAAAGTGAACTCCTGTTAATGTGGAAGATGCCTAAAAGGCCATTAACTTGATCTAAACAGGCTTTCAAGAACATGGCATCCATAAAAGAGAAAAATAAAAGAACAAAAGGATAGTTGAAGTACTGAGGAAGAAATCACTAAGAAATTGTTAAAAAAATAATATGAAATTATATGAAAAAATAGCAAAGAAAGTTTCAAAACATAGGGAACTGAAATGCATAAATATGTCACAATATATACTTATATACTATACTAGAGGCCTGGTGCATGAAATGTGTGCACTGGAGGGGCGGGGGTGGGATTCCCCTCAGCCCAGCCTGCACCCTCTCCAATCCGGGACCCCTCGGGGGATGTCCGACTGCCGGTTTAGGCCTGACCCCCGAGATCGGGCCTAAACCAGCAGTCAGACATCCCTCTCAATACTGGACCGCTGGCTCCTAATCGCTCACCTGTCTGCCGGCCTGGTCGTCCCCAACTCCCCCCCTCCCCCCACGCTGGCTTGGCCGCTCCATGCAGCCTGCTGTTCAGTCGTTTGGTTGTCCCTCACTAATCCCCCTGCTGGCCTGGTCGCCCCCAACTTCCCCTCCCCGCCTCACACTGGCTTGGTCACCCCATGCAGCCTGCTGTTCAGTCGTTTGGTCGTCCCTCACTAACCCCCCTGCTGGCCTGGTCGCCCCACGCAACCTGCTTGTTCAGTTGTTTGTTCGTCCCTCCCTGACCCCCCTGCCAGCCTGATCATAGGCAACCATCTTGTGAGGGTGTAGGGTCAATTTGCATATTATCTCTTTATTAGATAGGATATGAGGACCCTAGAACCATAAGAAATGCAAAAAACTCACTGTTAATAGCTCATTCTCAAATTGCCCCCCTTAAAAATCAAATTGTTCTGCCCCATGTTGGGAGCCACTGTATTAGAGGGAATCAAAAGTAGATTCCATAAAGCAGAGGATTGAATCAGCAGTTTGGCAGATAAGGTTGCAGAAAACACCCAATCAGAACAGCTAAAAGAATCCAAAAAAAAATGAGGATAGTTTAAAGAGCCTCTGGAACAACATCAAGCATGCCAGCATTCACATAACGGGGGTACCAGAAGGAGAGAGATAGAGCAAGAAATTAAAAACTTACTTGAAGCAATAATGACAGAAAACGTCCCTAGCTTGGCAAAGGAAATAGGAAATGTCCTGGACATACCTATCCAGGAAGCACAGAGAGTCCCCAGTGAGGTGAACTCAAAGAGGCCCACACCAAGACACATCATAATTAAAATCACAAAGGTTAAAGACAAAGAGAGTAGCTTAAAAGCAGCAAGAGATAAGCAGTTAGTTACCCAGAAGGAAGCTGCCATAAGACTGTCAGCTGATTTTGCAACAGAAACTTTGCAGGCCATAGAGATGGCATGAAATATTCAAAGTGATGAAAAGCAAAGGCCTACAACCAACATTATTCTACCCTGCAAAGCTATCATTTAAAGCAATTTTAAAACACTGTATACAATATCTATTACGAGTTTTATAAAGCTCAAATCAAGCAAGACCAAACAATGTATTATTTTGGGATGTATACATATTTTGTTAAACTTTTTTTAAGTAAAAAAATATAGAGAGTTTACTTTTGAGGAAGAGGCTTGGGACAAGATAGAAAAGGCCCACACACTAGAAATGTACAGAATGATCAGTGTTGTGGTGAGTACTGTAGATACTAGAGCTGTTCTTTCCTATCAAATAGTATTCCTGAAATAAGTAACATGGAGCTCCTTGGCACAGCCTGGACGGACATGTGCAGCGCCCACCCCCTTGTCCAGATGCACTGCCATGATGACCAGCAAGAATAAAGGAGAGGACTGTTCCCTCCATGTCTTGTGGTTGACTTGTTTCTTTTTCTCTCCTTCAGCATGTCATCTACTCTGTGAAATTCTTCCTGTCATATGCAATTCCGGACGTATCGAAAAGGACGAGGAGCAAGATCAAGAGAGAAAAGTACCTAACCCAGAAGCTTCTTCATGAGAATCACCTCAAAGACATGACCAAAAATATGGGGGTCATCGCTGAGACCATAATGGGAGCAGCAGATAACCATTTACGACCCAAATTAGAATAAGAGCTTTAGGTTCTGAGAAGCACTTTAAAGAATTTTACTCTTGTCAAAAAATACTATGAACCTCTGATGAAAATGCTTCAAAAGCACCCCTTCTGCAGCAGGACGGACTTGTGTTTTCCTGTTTGTTTTTAGGGAGTGTTTTGCCGCTTCACTTTGCCAGACCTGCGCCAGTGACCTTCCCCTCACAGTGCCATCCTTAGAGACGAGACACGCCTGCTTCTGCGTGACTGAAAATCGCTGGCTCAGAGTCCCGCCTGAACGCTGTATGAAGTGGCAAATAGACTCAAGGATTCCTGACATTTGGGCGAATTATCACTGCCCTACAGACAAGGAAACCTCAGTGAACAGGAAACAGTTTCAGTCTTCATGGTGGCTACCTGTCCATCTCACAGAACGCTCTTCATGCACGGGGATGAGGACAGCGAGGTCCTGCAGCGTGCTTGTGCTAACCCACAGCGATGCCTCTTACTCCCAGGAGCCGTCCCAGAATGTTCTGTGCCTAATCAGTGTTGACTGCTTTGCAGCTCAAAGGGAATAAGATGACAAAAGCAGGGAAAGTTACAGATTCAAACAGAATTTAATTCCTATTGATCAGGATAATTAATTTACCTCTCCTACTAAAGATGTATAGTTTCTTGGGGGGGGGGGGAAATCAAGGAATTAAAATTATCTCTTCTAAAGATGTGTAGTTTCTTGGGAAAACAAAGAAATCAAGGAATTAAAATTACATTTCTATCAACGTAATAGTCTGGGAAAGATACGCCCATCAATTTCCCACAGTTGCCCTTTATCCACTAGCTGCAGGGCGCACAGTATTCCAGATCACGAGCGCCATCGCGAATGGCGCCCTACACAGCCACTGTGACATGATGATGCCGAGTGCGCTTACCAGAACACAAGTGCCCTGATGGTGAGCCACACTGTGTCTCTGTGTGGGGAGCACCTTTTGGCAAGGATTCCGCATGTCCATGGGATCAACATACCAAAGCCTCTGCCCCAAGTAGCTCCCTGCACCCTCCATTCTCCTATTCCCAACCCAGGAACTTGTTTGTAATTGCATGTTTGCACCAGAGGGGCATTTGTGGGGAGGGAGGAAGACGGGAGTAAACCCAGATTATTCCCAACCCAGAAAAGACTCTGGGTTTGATTTGTACTTCCAGCATCCTTAAAGCCAATCGGGCATTTAGGCTCTGACAAGAAAATGGTTTGGTCACAAACCCTGCCCTCAGCCGGAGGTCACTTCCTGCTGAATGCCTACACCGTGCCTGTCTTGCCCGAGATGTGTTCAGCTGAGCAGTCTTTACAGCGCCTTACTGCCTTTCAGGTGCTAGGCCCTCTGGGGAACTCGAGAAGATACGGAGCCCGCACTCCTCACTACTGACTGGTCACGGGAGTGATGGGTGCGGGAGAAGGTGTCTAGCACCGGGTCCTTGCTAGATGGGCTGCCACCCACTGGGGTGCTGCTAAACACCCAGGTGCCATGGGAGCCAAGCTGCTCAGAATTCCAGCAGCAAAGGAAAAGGAAACATGTTTTCGTGTTTAGAGGCTTGTTACCATAGGGTAGTCGAACTCCAGATCACAATTCTAAATACCTGCCATAAATGTTTTTTTTAAAAAAAAGCAGTATTTACGTAGGATTCCTCAAAGCAGTCTCTGGACTTTTGAATTGTCCCTATGGACCAGGGACAGCATTTCACTAACTGTCTGGATAAGGCTGCCGAGGTGATCAGAACGTGGCCATGAGGGGCCGACTGCACCGGGAGTGAGAAACGAATTTCTTTCCCGGGCCAGCTTTCTCATCCCACACAGCCTAGTGCCACTGCTCCTGCCCCACTCCCTGTGATGCTCTCCCGGAAGCGGTGCGCTTCCTCCGATTACCTCCTCTCCTCTCTGAACTGTATCCCCGTGTTGGATTTGGCAGTTCCTCATTGTGGATGGAAGCATGGAAAAGAAATGCTCTTGCCTTATCTCCTCGTATATACAACGCTAAAAGAATTATGCATTTTCTTTCATACGTTGTCTTCACGGTCTAAAACGTGCTTCCTTGGACAGGAGGGCATAAAACCTCTACACTTTTTAAGGCAGCAGATGTGACATACGACACTGCCAACATTTCCCAAACGGCTCCGTTGTAGTGGGCGCCCAGGGTCACCCAGGACACCAACACTGGTGATGTAAGTCTAGCGCGGGCTTGTCAGTGGTGAAGAAAAGTGTGGGGCTCTGCCTGCAGCCATCATGGCTGGGTCTAAGCGTGTGCAGAGGCAGCGCCCCGGGGAAGATGAATGGGTGTGGCCGTGGGCCTGTGAAGGGAAATCCAGCCCTAGAGCTGCCCAGCGTTAACCACTAGAGAAGTGTTCATGTCCTGTCCTTTTGTAATGCCTGTGAATTGTAATAGAGCAGAGCATTAGACCAAAATACTCAGGGGAGTTTCCTTTATCCCTCCAGTGTCCTAGTTATGTCAGTAGATAGAAGGGGAAAGCTACCATTTGTGTTGGAAGACTAAACAAGGCCATCTTATAAACTGTCACCAAAGTCTTCCCTTTGAATTGCGCACACATCTTGAATTTCAGAAAACACGAATTCATAATAGGGGGGCAGAATGTGCTCTGTTGTTGAAACACTTCTTGTAACATTTGTCATGTTTGTATTTTAAGATGTTTGAAAAATTAAACTGTATGAGTAGCCTAACTAAATTAGAACTGAAATATTCATATAATGCTCTTCATACACCATGGCATAAGATGGAAAGTTTGTAATGTTTTGTGATTTCTGTGCATTTTAATATCCTTTTATAATTTTGAGCATTTTAATAAAATCACTGTAAAAACAGTACTGTGGTCTACTCATTTAATTGTCTTAATTGGTACACAGCAGGTATATTTGCCCTTTCTGAAAAAACATTATCACTCAGATAACAAATGTGCACTTTTATGTAGATTACTAGAGGCCCAGTGCAGGAATTTGTACATGGGTGGAGTCTGGCCAGCCTGCCCCAATGAGTGCCGATTGGGGGCAGGGCCAGCCATGGGGAGGGGCTGCAGGAAGTTGTGGGGGGCCAATCGGGCCCCAATCAGGCCAGTTGGCCGCTGCAGTGTGTGTCATAGCGACTGGTCATTCTGGTTCCATTCTGTCCTTCTGGTCACTTGGCTTTTATATATAGAGATATCTAAAATTATATTTTTTCACAGCCTGCACTTACTTTGAAGTATGGTTTTTCTGGGATAAATTGTGGGTGGAGACTCAGGCAAGGCTGCTGCAGACAGTTGTTGAGTTGGAACCCTGCACAGGGCACCAAGCCTGGAGACCAAATGGGAGCTGCAAACCAGCCTACCTCACCTTGCCAGGTGCACCAGTGTCCCACTGCACCAGCAGGAGGAGGATGTGCTTGCTCTAAATGCATAATGACAGCTTCTGGTCATGATCGTAGTGGCAATATCGCCCACGTAGGGCAAGTGTCCATGAGTCTCAGTAGGTTCTGTTTAAATGTAAAATGTCCCTGGGTGCAGAAAGGGGAAATTATGGTGAATATCCTATCTAATAATAGACAAACACGGTAATTGACCATACCTTTGCTATGCCTCCCATTGGCTAATCAGCATGATATGAAAATTAACCACCAACAAAGGTGGCGGCTAATTTGCATACTGCAGGCAGGGCGGGCCAGCGGGAGCAGCCATCTGGGCCTCTGTGTGCCGCCTAAGCCCCGCCCCCGGCCGGGACCCCCCATGTGTGGCCCTGGGCTGCTGGGACCCCCATGTGCGGTCCTGGGTGGCAGGGCTTGGTGGCCCGATCTGCCCGAGGAAGCCCTATTTTTTCAGGGGCTGCTGGGGGCCTGATCAGAGACACAAACATGTAGGCCCAGCACCCAGCAGCCCCAAGCTCCGGGCTGCTGGGGGGATCAGAGACACAAACCTGCAGGCCCAGCACCCAGCAGCCCCAAGGCCCACCACCTTGGTGCTGGGGCCTGATCGAAGACAGATCCGCAGCCCCAGCTCCCAGCAGCCCCAAGCCCTGCCATCAAGGTGCTGGGGCTGCTGGGGGTATCAGAGACACAAACCCGCAGGGGTGGGGGGCTGGCACCCAGCAGCCCCAAAGCCCACCACCTCGGCGCTGGGGCTGCTGCAGGCAGGATCAGAGACACAAACCCTGTGAGCCCTGCACAGGACGGGTGCTCTGCTCCAGGCGAAGTGCTTTCCCTCCAACCCAGCTCTCCCTGGGAGTCCGGCGTGGAGGGCGCTCTCCCTGGGAACCTGGAAATTCGCCTCTGGGGCGACTGTGCAGCAGCCACGCCTGGCGAGCCACGGAGAGGGTGACCTAACCATGTGGATGTGCACACTGTCGGAGGCCATGCAGCTGCCATAGTTGAAGTTGTCCTTGATGTAGGAAACGGGGGTAGTGGGGATCAGAGTGGGCCAGGTTGGCAATGGAACCCCAGCTCCCCACCGAATGACTAGGGCACACAATCCTCAGTCACTTCCTGAGCAGCAGTCAGCCCCAACCGGGGATCAAACCCGAAACCTAAGTAGGTGCCCTGACAGAATGGAACCCAAACCTTTGCAGTAGAAGAGGAGCTCCGACCCACAGCAGGGGCCAGGGCAGCTGGCGAGTGCAGCTGCGGTGGCGGGAGCCTTTGCGGCAGCACCAAGGAGCAGCAAGCCGAGCGGTATGAAGCAGCAAGCAGGTGGGCGGTAAGGAGGGAGAGGTCCCGGACTGCGAGAGGGCACAGACTGGGCTAAGGGACCCCCCCACCCATCCCCAGTGCACGAATTTCATGCACTGGGCCTCTAGTAGGATATAAAAGTTAATCTCATTACAAAAATCAATTTTTTAAAAAATCCTGCACTTCCGGTTTCTACTTCTGCCTCTGGACAATATAAAATCCAGATTTTAACTCATTTCACCCTTTAATATTTTTTACCAGCTTAATTTTCATTAGGCTTCCAATCAAAGTAAGTAAAATATAGGCCATAACTGAATAAACAGGAAGAAGCTTTTTCTGATTCCTAAATAATGCCTATGGGACTGGTACTAATAATGCTTGAATAGCCCTAACTGGTTTGGCTCAGTGGATAGAGCATCAGCCTGCAGACTGAAGGGTCCCAGGTTCGATTCCAGTCAAGGGCATGTACCTTGGTTGCGGGTACATCCCCATTAGAGGGTGTGCAGGAGGCAACTGATCGATGTTTCTCTCTCATCAATGTTTCTAACACTCTATCCCTCTCCCTTCCTCTCTGTAAAAAATCAATAAAATATATTTAAAAAACAAATAATGCTTGAAGGGAAGAATAACATTTTAAGTCCGGCAGAGGGCAACTAGAAGTTCATTTCTTAATCACAGTACCCCCTTTTCATTTGGGGGTGGCAGGGAATGAGTAGTTCCCCCTTATTCACAGTTTTACTTCCCATCAATTTTTTTTTTTTTTTACTGTCACCTGGGGTCCAAAAATGTTAAATGGAAAATTTCCCAAATAAAGAATTTGTAATATTTAAATTGTGTGCCGTTCTGAGTATCATGATGAAATCTTACCCTACCTGGGGCATGAATCATTCCTTTGTCCAGCATATCCACACTGTGTATGCCATCTGCCCATTAGTCACAAAGCAGTTAGATGGACTTTGAGGTGTCACAGGGCTTGTGTTCAAGTGACCTTTATTTTACGTAATAATGGCCCCAAAGCCCAAGAGTAGTGATGCTGATAATTCAGATATGCCAAACCTTAAAGTGCTTCCTTTAACACATTAAGCACCAAGCCTGTTTTGTCTTCCTTTCTGTTTAGCCCGCAATATCCGATTTCACCGATACACTGACTGCACCAGTGACTGACAAGGTCCAGATGGAAAGTATAGTGTCAGTCACCTGTGAATGACATGGCACTTAACATGTTAAGTGAAAGATGAAAGGCCTCAATATGGAAAGAAAATGTCATATGCTGAGGTTGCTAAGATCTATGGTAAGAACACCATGAAATTGTGGAAAGGAAAAAGAAATCCATGCTAGTTTGCTGAGAAACCACATTCACATAACTTTGATTACAATATCCTATCTAATAATAGGCAAACATGGTAATTGACCGTATGTTCGCTATGCCTCCCATTGGCTAATCAGCATGATATGCAAATTAGATGCCAACAGAGACGGCAGCTAATTTGCATACTGCAGGCAGATCCCGCTGTGCCACCCCACCTGGGCTGGTGGCAGCACAATCCCCAGCCACTGGCTGCCCCCAGCGTGGGATCCAGGCCTGCCATGGGCGGGGCGAGGCGGGTGGGGCGGGCGGCAGCACAATCCCAGTGGCCACCTGCCCAGTGCAGGATCCGGGCCTGCCTTTGCAGGGTGGGTTAGGCGGGGCAGGCAGCAGCACAATCCGAGCGGCTGCCCTAACCCAGTGCGGGCTCCGGGCCTGCCATCTGCGACAGGGGAGATGGGGCAGACACCACGGGATCGGGCCTGCCATCTGCCACCAGGGGAGCAGGCCTAAGCCAGAAGGTGGTTATCTCCCGAGAGGTCCCAGACAGTGAGAGGGCACAGGTTGGGCTGAAGGACCCCCTCCCCCCAGCCAGTGCACAAATTATTGTGCACCGGGCTTCTAGTCTATATATATAAAAGCCTACGTGACTGTTACAACCACTCAGCTGGTTGCTATGACACGCACTGACCAGCAGGGGGCAGATGCTCAATGCAGGAGCTGCCCCCTGGTGGTCAGTGCACTCCCACAGTGGGAGCACTGCTCAGCCAGAAGCCGGGCTCACAGCTGGAAAGCGCAGCTATGGCAGAGGCGGGAGCCTCTCCCACCTCCACAGCAGTGCTACTGAGTGGTGATGGCAGCAGCTGCAGCAGGACTGGGATAAGCAGGAGCAGTGCGGTGCCGGCCCCGACTCAGACCCCTCCCCAGCCACCTGCCACTTCACACACTGCTACCTCTCTTGGGGGATGTCGGACTACTGATTTTGGCCCGACATCCGACATCCCCGAGGGATCCCAGATTGCGAGAGGGTGCAGGCCAGGCTGAGGGACCCCACCTATGCACAAATCTGTGCACCAGGCCTTTAATATTGTTATAATTGTTCTATTTGATTATTTGTTATTGTTGTTCATCTCTTACTGTGCCTAATTCATAAATTAAACCTTACCATAGATATATATGTATAGGAGAAAAACATATATAGGGTTTGGTACTGAAATCATAGTATATGTGTGTATAGAATTCAGTACTAATCCAAGGTTTCAGGTACTCACTGGGGGGTCTTGGCACCTATCCCCCAAGGAGAAGGGGAGACTACTGTAATTGGTATTTATCTGCCCGCCCCCTCGGTACCATGTTTGATGTTTATTTACACATTATCTCACAGCTAACATGATTTTTTACAGACAAGTTTTAAGTAGCTTTTAAAAAAATGATTATAAAAGAAGTACATGATTATAAAAGAAATGCAGCATGTTAGAAAAACAACAACAACCCCAAGCTGTACAGAAAGGCTGTGCCGGAAACCGGAGTCCTGCCCTCACCCCAGCCCACTCCACTCCCAGAGGCCCTAGGAGTGTGAATTGGGGGCATCAAGGGCACTCCAGAGATTTGCTTTGGTTTTAAAAATTATATTCTGTGTGTTAAAGTTGCAGATCAGAAAAGCTAGTTCTTTCCTTCAGCTCTTCAGCCCAAATCCTATTCTTTTCATAAATGTAGCAAATGATCACTTTTTCAGGAAACTTTTTGTCTACTTGCAAAATTAATGAAATGGTTTAAAATATCAGAAATGACCATTGTAAGTTTAGTCTGTTCTATTTCCTTTAAGTACTCCAGTTTCCCGACCAATTGTGGCCAAGAGGCCATA